TGTAGAGGAGATTTATTTTGCATTTTGCTCAAAATTTGATAGGCTTTTGGCAAGGGTAGGAAACAGTCATGGATTTGGCAGTCTTGTACTAGCAGATTTGAAATGTTCAATCCTTAAGAACTGGTGCATCGTTAGGTTATGCAAAACAGGGTGCGATTTTGTAAATATGCCATCTTGTACTGATTTGACATTTGTTCTATTATCCCAGAATATGCCAAAGGGAGAGAGACCTTCAGATGTAAGCCAAACCTTAACTTGTTTGTTGAGTGCTGATAAAATGTTGACTGCTGTGTGATCTTTAAAAGAAGCCAGTGTTGCCTGGTGGGGCCTGAGGTAGAGCCCCCTGGCGGATTGACAGGATCTCTCCTTGGCGTCTTCTGGGTACAGTTGTTTGATAGATGTAAACAAGTAAAACATCTGTTACAGTGGATTGAAATTTTTTTCTCAAGATTTTTCTGTGGCCTCTGTTTTCTGTGGCATTAATGGTGCCTCCCAAAATAGCATCATTCTGTGTTACTTATGAGGCTCTGGTTGCAAGGGGGAGAATGTGTAAAGCAAGTCGGTACACCTGAAATGTCTCACTGAAGGGCTGGGTTGCCCATTAGACCAGCGGCTGTTCTCTCTTTGTACAGGAGCCTGGAAATGGTGATGAGGGTTTAGCTGTGACGTGAAGGGACATTAGAAGATGGTGTTAAGGGGAATGGGCTCTGGAGCTAGACTTGTGCTCGCATTTCATGTCTGCCCCTCACTAGCAGTATGAGCTTGGGGAGGTTACTTACACTCGCCAAGCCTCAGTTTCCTCATCTGGATAATGGGGATAAGCAGATCGACCTCACAGGGTTAGTGCAAGGATTAAATGGGACACCTGTGCCTTCCAGAAAGCCAGCTTTCCAAACGTGGCAGCTGCCCCCATTATCTCCAGGAAGCCAAGTGTCCTTCTGGTGCCTTGATGGCACAAGGGGTAGCTTAAAATCGTTAGACCTTCTGTTCCTCGCAGTGCGTTCCAGTCCTATCAGCTCTCTCTTTTATTTCAAAAAATACAAAGATCTATTTGTTGGAAGTAACTGAGGAACCAGCATGATCCAACAGGCAGCTACAGATGGTTCTTCTCAGGGCTTGAAGGAAAAGCTCGCAGAGATGCTGCGGAATCGGCACCGCCACTGGACCAATCCTTCCCACTCTGCTTCGCCAGACTGTTGCTGACAGCGGGGTTCTCCGGAAGTTTCTAGCCTCGGGAGAGTGCCAACTGCTCCACCATTGCATCCTTGCCCATTTATCACTCCGAGCTTCCTTTTTAGTAGTTGGTGATAGACTCTTCTGCTTCTAACTTAGTCATCCATTTCCTTTTCTATTTCTGTTCCCATCGATAGGCAAAGGGGGATTATCCTATTTTAGGGGGTTCAAGTAGCACAGTTATATTATTTTGGATCTGTAATCATACCTTCGGTGAGGGCGTGTGTTTCTCTCACTGACTTTGGAGGTTGCCTTTTGACAGGTTAAAGTGCACCGCACAGCCCATGGAGAGGCTTTCTTGACCGAGAAGTCAGGATGCTCCGTCTTGTAGGGAAAGATGGGGCTGGTTGCAGAGGTGAGGGGGCGCAGCTGCGCCTTGCCGGGGGGAGTCCTGGGCCGCCTGACAGCGGGCGCGTGCCCGTGGGCCGCCTGCCTGCACCGCGAGGTCCCGCTGGAGGCTTCTCCCAGTGAGCTGGGGACGTGTGCGTTGGGAATGGTACACCTCTCTTGCAGTTGCAGGGGAAGCTTTTGTTTTATTTTTCTCTTGCTGCATTAAAGTATTTGTCTTTCTTTCTTTGTAGTGTAATATTGTTAATGTAAAACAATTTGCATCATGACACTTTTATCACAGTTTTCGTCTTTTTCTCAGTATGTTGCATTTCTCACCATGTCTAGTTCATCACAGCTACAGTGTGTACATCACAACATTTATCTTAGGCTCAGGGTTTTACTTGTTTATAAAAATTGTCTTCTTTCAGCCTGTATTCACTCCATTTAAGAAAAAAAAAGGCAGCCAGAAACTGTTTTGGTCCAAACTCCAGTAGTTATCACATTCCTTGCTAACTGTCCTGTGTATTTATATGTCTCCTAACTATTACTCTATGTTTCAGTGACATTTCTCAGTTTTATGGCTCATGGAGGTTGTAGGAGCAGCTTCTGCTGTTCAAGCTGCCAAGTAGCAAGGCCCATGAGGCTTTTAGAGGTGAGGCGAGGGGACCCAGCTGTGTATTTGGGTCAGGTCTAGGTGTCACAGTGGACTGTCTTCAGTGCGCAAAGAGCTAGGTTTACTGTGGACAGAAACAAGGCAGAGGAAAGCTACCGGTGCGGGAGGCGCAGGCTGAGAGCAGGGCGAGCAGAGGCATCCCCAGGGAGGACTCTACAGGGAGCACCAGCGCCTGGGGCCCAGATCATTAATGGTCACTGTCGGAGTTCAAGCGCCAGCCTCTGCAGTCCGAGCTTTGAGTCTTACCCTTGAGGGAAATTGATTTTGACCCTTTCTTCTTGGAGGAGCAGAAAATTGCTCAGGGTTCTGTGGCTGCGTTACACTCTTATCAACTGCCCAGCCGGCAACATGCTCCCAAACCCCACAATGCTGTGCAGACCAGCGCTCTCCTGGTTATCCTTCAGCCGAAGGCAGCGTGGGAATGCAGGGGCCAGAGGACACCCAGGGGATTTGTGCCCTACAAATTCCAGGACAGTTAATTAACGTTTATTTCTCACTGTTCTTTTGCTGGAAGACCACATCACGAGCAGCTTGGAATTTTAGCAGCAACTTGAGGTAGCATAGAAGGTAAAAGAGGTTCTGCCTTCAGACTTTGTGTCCAGCTCTGACACTTCCTATAGATGTAAGTTGGTGCAAGTTGCTCACTTCTGAATCTCCGTGTCTCCGTGTAGAAAGCTACAGACCTATCTCACAGGAACGCTGTGAGGTTAACATACAGCAGGGCTTTTATAAATCCTTTCTGATGCTTAGCAAAGCGACTAGCACAGAGTAAACACTCAATAAATACTAGCTATTATTATTATCAATTTCACAGTGCATGGGTTGAAAAGGGCAAGACATATCTCAGTGAATTTCAGAATATTTACTCTGCCTACCCTAGCTGTTCCCACTAGCCTCTGCAAAAGTAGGACTGAATATAGTAAACAGTACAATTTAAGTGCTTAAATTTCTTTCATTTATTTATTAGATGAATATTTAGCACTATATTCACCCTGAGAATAGAGTAACGAACAGTACAGGCAAATTCCTTCTCTCATGGACCTTATTGTTTAGTTGGGTCTGTAACAAATAAATATTGACTAGATAAAAAAGTGAATGAATGGAAGAATTAATAGGGTAATGTTCAGATGGATGGATGGACTTAACCGGGATATCTCACTAGATAATATGTTTCTTAAAAATAAAGTAAAATAAAAATATGACCTTTAGTGAGTCCCAGGTGTTCATTCTAAAAGTTCATAAATTCTCACCTGGGGTCAGAAATGCACTATGGTCAGGGCAGGTGGGTACCAGCCTGCACGTGAGTTGGGGGACACTTGCTTTCCAGAACAAGGTGACCTGGAGAGGCTCAATCAACTGACACAAATTGGGTGACTCTGTTCTGAAAATTGTAGACAGAATATCTTTTTTTCCAGAAACACTGTGTTACAGCATTCTGACATCAGCATCAGCAATTTAATCTTGAAAAGAAAAAATAAAAACACCTAGTCTCGTGATTCCTATTTCTGTGAGAGAGTTGTAAGAGTTTACTTTTATTCCCATTTTACAGAAATCAAGGCTCTGAGAGCAGCATGTTTCCAGGTGTATAGCTCACTCTGTAGAAGCTGGGACTAGAATACAAACACTTTGACCTCTGCCCCATCCCCTTCCTGCCAGACCCCCCATAGCTGTCATCAAAAATATTAAGCTGGTGTTAGCTACAAAGGTCACTGCAAAATCCAAACCGTGGCCCTCATAAAGTTGGTTTTGAGTCACAGATACCGCGGGACTAGCTGGCTGATACTTAACCCAGAGCAAGGCTACTGGCCCTTCCTCTGCCCAACGTAGAACAAGACAATAGAAGCATTATCCAGGTCGCCCCCCACCCCCCCGAAAGGTCCTCCGCTGTCTGTGCGACATTTTTATCCTCATCCCAACTTTGTAAGCATCCCCAAATTAAGATCAGAGAGCCAGTCTATGCTTTCAAAGGCTTTTTCATCCAAGACTTCCCCCTCATTCTAGAAGTTCTACCTGATTGAGGCCAGGAAGCAGTCTTCACAAAGCTGACCTCCCAATTTTCTGTCCTGTTTTCCTGGCTGATTTGGGAACACCTTGACCCAACAGCAGCATTTTCCCCCCATACAGAAGGAGGCAGACAACAACCCTCTGATTTTCTAAGGCCACTCTTGATCTTTTTCACCCCTCTCCCCTCCCATATGTTACATTTGCCTAGGTTTTAAACATCTGTTCCCAGCGAGGTAATACTCGTTTCTCGTTCTGAGCCTAGCAATGTGAACCAAAGTTCATATGACATATTGCAGAGTATGTTTAGTTGCAAATGCTATGTACAGGCTCTTTGAAATGTAGCATGTATGGTACCATGTGACACATGGTTGCCATGGCAATACACTTTTTGGCTGAACTACAGCATAAGCCCATGGAACATACATTGCTAATATGAGACTCTGCCCTGTGCTAATGCATAGGACACAGCCAATCTGGGATCTGGGACTCAGGGGTTTTGTACGCAGCCGGGGTGGCAGGTGCCCTCTTCCTGCGTTGCAGGGAAGATGCGGCATCCTCCCTTTCCAGCCCTGTCTCCCAGGCACAGGGCATGCTGTGCATTCTGCCATGCATGGAGACAGCATTTGCTTGAATATCGGTTTGCTATATTTTGTATCAAAGGGGGCCCCAGCTGAAAACATTTTATTTTGTAAACTGAAGTGAAAAATCAGTTTATGGCAGATCTTTTTTTGAATAATGACATTCTTTTTCCCAATTCCAGAATTCAACAGTCATGAGCAGAGCTGAAAATTTTAAACAAGTTGAGTACCTCCTTATTCATGGAACAGCAGATGGTGAGTTTCAGTTAATTAGACTTTTTAGTATCACAGACAGGTTTGCAATTTCACTACTGACAAAACAAAAGCATGAGGGGCAAGACTGTTACATTTACTTCAATAAAACAGTGTTGCTTTCCACAACTCACTTGTCTTAGGCTAAATGGGATGCTGAGTCCTAGAACTTCAAATAGTCCCTTTTTTCTTGTGCCTTTCCCACCCTTCAAGTATCAGAGAACTGGAGCTCTTACTACTTTGTTTCTTTTTCCTCCCTGCAGATAATGTCCACTTTCAGCAGTCAGCTCAGATCTCCAAAGCCCTAGTGGACGCTGGAGTGGATTTCCAGGCGATGGTACAGCAAAACTTGGTTCAAGGGGAGGAACTTGGTGGTGGGGTCTGGTTTTCCCTCTCTGGGCTACTTCTCCTCACAGTGGTCTCAGGTGACAGGGACAGAATTAAAAGGGTTTTTAGTTTTCCATTGAGAAGTTGGAGAAGTGATATCCTTGAGCCATAGACAGAGTCATGTCCAATATTACAGAGTTGGGAGTTGACAAGCACGGTGTTGCATATCCCAGGAGTGTCAAAACACTGTTGTCCTCTTCATGCGATTGTTCAGTCTCTCCTTATTTTGATTCAAAAGTAATCACTCACTCTGTAAATGTGGGGCAGAGTCCTTCTAGAGTGAAGCCAGCATGATAGTAGCTCAGCTCAAATATGAAAATTCATTTCTGCCTAGTGTGTATTACTAGCCATTCTAACAACAGTGGGATATTAATAAACAGCTCCCTTCAGTGTGGGCAGGTGCCGTTATCTTTTGTTGAACAACCATTGGCAATAAACAATTAGGCTTGTTTTATAAAGTCAGAAATGGCTAGAACTGCTGCTGCCTGTACAGAAGGTTGTTTCTAGGTATTAAATCAAATGCGTTTTCTGCACTAGACCTTTTCAGATTAAGAAGAAAAAAAACTATACTTATACACATGCATATACATTGCATATATATAATTACATATAGTGTGTGGGGAATACTAAAAATTTTTGCATGAAATGCTTTCTTGTCTGTATCGATATATCCTTTAGGTCAGATTCTTATTAAAAGGTTGAGGTTTATTTTTCCACTACTCAAAGAAAACAAATAATACTTCAGCAATTTTAAAAAGTTAAATTTATGTCCCCATAATATTTGTTTGCTTGGCAGTGGCTTCCCACTTGCTTAATGAAGTATGAGTTGATAAATTTTTGCCTGAGGTCATCAACTCTTTGCACATATATGTCAGACATATAGATAAAAATTCCAGTAAAAAATCAAAGTGTTGGCAAATACTGCATTTGACTTTTGACTTCACTTATGTTAAACATATATATGGAGTATTGAAATAGATGTTTCCAGTTCCTTAGTGACATATATAAGGAAAATTTGCTTTTAAAAACTTTATTTGTTATAATACAATGTATCTTACTTCAGTGTAGGAGAAATTTGACACTTGATAACACTTAAAACTAGTGTGCTTAATGGGCTAAACATTCCTTCCTATGCATGATGTGGTTCAGTGTCCTTTGAGTCAAATTTGAAAATGGATTTGGATATTTTAATTAGCTTTATATGCCCTCAAAATACTGCAGTTAAGCCCAATTCACAGTCAGTCCTCTTAGCACCTACAAAGGACGATTAGAGACTTCTGCAGCCAGAACACCATGCCCTGGAAAAAGCTCTGGGGGTAAATTAGACATCCTTTTGATCACCTTTCAGTTTATAAACTAACTCAGGAATTAAAACATCCTGTTTTATTCAATATATGCTCAGGAGAGCTCTTTTGAATTGATTTTTTTTTAAAAAAAGACAACTCACTTTCTAAATCTGACCTTTTTTTTTCTGTCTCCAGTGGTACACAGATGAAGACCATGGAATTGCTAGCAGTACAGCTCACCAACATATATACACCCACATGAGCCACTTCATAAAACAATGCTTCTCTTTACCTTAGCACCTTCAAATACCATGCCATTTAAAGCTTATTAAAAGCCATTTTTGCTCTCATGTTCTCAAAACTGCACTGTTAAAATGATGATCTTAAGAAAAATACACTCAAATCAAGAAATGCAAGGTTACCTTTGTTCCCAAATTTCTTATCTATAACCCTAAGTAGGGACTTCTATGGTCACAAGAGATTATTACCTTACAGAAGTTCGAATTATTCAGTCTGGTTTTGTTTATTATTTAAAGTCACTTCCACATCAGTTGCTGGCACAACAAAGAAGAACTGGTTTTGTGGCAGCTTGGCATAGGTTCCCTGGGCAGCATTTTATTTTTCTAAATGGACTAGTCCAAACCTTGTTCTCTTCTTTAAAGGGATGGCAAGATGTGGGCATTGATGTCACGGAAGCAGTGAAAAGACGGGGTAGGGACAGAAGCTGGCAGAGCAGGGCTGAGAACCTAAGACCGAGCACGCTGACCCGACCAGGCTACGGTCAGCTCCTCACAGAGAGCCAGCTGTTCACAGCCCGAGTGACACGGTTTTCTGAGAAAGACTCCTCAGACAGTCTCAGGAAATCATATATGCAAAGTACTGACTTCTGAGTAAAACCACAGCAGTTGAATAGGCTCCAAAGAAATGGGAGGGAAACTGCTAACAATGCAGGGGCCCCGGGTGTCAGTGAGGAGCTGTAGGAGCACAGCAAGGCGGGTGGGGGAGGGCATGGTCAGTGGGCTTTGAAAAATACTGCTCTTCCCTAGTGAAAGAGGTAGCTGGGACCTGAGAGGTGAGCGCGTCAGCCTGACCTGTTAAAAGATGAAAATATTTGTGTTGCAGATCCTAACTTGAAGGAGTCCTTGCATCAATTTTTCTTATTTCATTTCCTTGAGCCTCTTAATGAAAAGAATAGTTTAACTTCCCTGGCCTTGTTTTTAAAAATGGAAAATAAACTGCAAATTTATGTATTATTATTCCCATTCTACATGCTGTGGAATTTCTCCTGGTCATTTAATAAACGTGCCTCAGTTTTTTCAGAGGTATTGCATTTGTGTCTTGAATCAGACCTAACCCACCTTGGCATAAAGACACATTTACCCAGAAAGGCTTTATAGGCTGGCTTGTAAACATGGAGAGAGTTCTGCCTTTGCAAAAAAAATAATAATAATACATAGAAATGTGTTATATTAAGGAGTTCCTAAGATTTTTGTCTAATACATACATAATTTCTGTTATCATACATACATATACAACTTGTAAAATCAATTTAAAATAATTTTAGTTGTATTATACGTAATTTATAATGTTATTCCAAGGAACTGTGATGAGCCTCATGTTATAAGAACAAATAATATCAATAATATCATCTTGGTAGCTCTGACGGCTCGGTGAAAGTTAAAAAAAAAGTCTTATCAATCACTTAAGTGTTTGACTATTTCTGGTTGCCACAGTCATATTAAAGAAAGCATAGATTTCAGATGCTGAATTTAGCTTAGCAAACTAATGCCTGGATAACTCAGAAAATTTTTTTGCTCTATTATTTACAAAATGGCCTCATATTTTAAAAACTGACTTTATGAACTTAGCTTCAGGTCATTTGTTGGAAACTGTTACCCTAGACAGAGTGAGGTACAGCATAAAAATCTAAAAATGGGAGAAATGGAAAATATCTACCAACTCAACGTAAGGCTGGTAAGTCATGCATAGAAGTAGTGGACAGAGCATTGTGATATTCAGCTTTTACTGTATTTTCAGAGTGTGCCATCATGTAACTTCACCTTAAGTCTCAAATCCTACTCAACCATTGGAACCATAAACAAACCTTCAAACCTTAGGGCTTTTGTCATAATTCCATTTCTTACAAGAATTCAGTCATCATAAGTAGCTGGACCAATCTTTGCAGAGTTCTATTTCTAGAAACAATAGTCATAGATCATGTGTTCACATCCTGGACTGAATTAATTAGTCCAAAAAAAACCAAATTAAATAGAAATTTTCCTTTTATCTTAATTGAAATCAGATATTGTGCAATATCAGATATTATACTGGTATTAAGAGCATTTGACATATCAGTTACTAATAAGACTAATGTACAATAGTAGACATACATCAGATACTGTACAGATATTAAGAGCATTGCATAATCTCTGATACTGTACAACATCTGACTTGATATTGTTCAACTACTGTGTTATATCAAACTATATGAATTCATCATTCCTTTTCTTTCTAACTATATTACATGTTTGCTCTGGAGCCCAGAGAAAAAGTGCCAGCACATATTTTTCACATAATGAAGGTGGTAAATAGTAATGATATGATCAAAGTTCAAGTAGATTTCATTTGGCCCTCATAGAATAAGTTTTCCTCTCCAATAAGAGTTTTAAATTAGCTTATTAGAAAAGGAAGGTAGAGGAATTTACAAGTAAAGTAGAGATAAACTTAATCTGAAGGTAAGTCTGAAAGACGCAGGGACCCATCACACCACTGAGACGTGCCAACTTCCCTGCCACTGACAGTTGCAGCTTCAACAGACACATACCTGCTAAGATTCCTCTGTAAACAAGCTGCCGGAGTGCCCAGGAGCACAAGCACCAAAGGGATGCAGAAACGTTCACATCTCCTCTATGCTTTTGATTAAGATTTTTTAGCATATCACTTAAAAATCATTTTTTAATATTTTTTGTTGGAAATCTTGCTAAAGATAATTACATACCTCCATTCTTTCTTGAATAGCAGGCATAGAATATAACTCAGTGCCTCCTCAATGACTGAAGGCCACCACCATACAGATCAGTTATCACAAGCTGCAAGTCATTCTGAATGCTTCCTGTAGGTGGTCACTGAGGCCACCAGTTCCCCTACTTGGCTCTTGTTCCTTTTGCTCCAAGCTAATATGAGAATCCAATGTATAAAACTCCTCGTGTGGTATAATAGTTAAGAGTCAATAAACCTTAAATGAAAAATATACCAAAACACAAGAATGTTTATTTTCATAAAGTAAGAGAACTTTGTCAGTTCTTTCTGCAGTGTCCAAGCACCTTTTCACATACATCCTGAATGATCTGGAGTGTATATTCAGGATGTCAGGGATACAGATGGCTGAGAATGAAAGATGAATGTGGGTAATAAAACCCATAAGAAAAGCTTAGCGCCTGGTATTAATAAGATCAATGCGAGGTGCAGTAGAAATTTATCATCCTTCTGCATGTCACCTTTTTGTAACAATATTAGTATTTAAATTCAGTAATTTGAATAAAAAAGATATTTCCTTACTGCTAAATTGAGAAGGGTATCTTTTCTGGTGTTACAGTCTCCAAATTTCAACAAACTCAATCAAAGTTCCATTCTACATAATCTTTCTCTTGGAGAATTACCCCAAGTTTGACAGATTATTTAAAATGCATATATAGTGAGATATATGACCCATCAAACAACCAAAACCCCAATTACTCCACAAAATGTCTCCCATCCAAAATCACAATATTTCTGACTCGTGATCAAAATAAGTATATCATTGCGTAAGTTTGGCTTCCAATGTTAGTGACATAAAAATTACAAAGAAAATGTAACATACCGAGAAGAAATATTACTCATCTTAACTCTGGTTGCTTGAGCCAGAACAGTGCCCTGTCATAGGAACGAGGCACACCTTGCCTCCTACTGGAGACTCAGTGCACTGCAGCCGAGGTGAGCTGGGCGTGGGTCAGAATCTTGGCATCACCACTCACAGTGAGAAATGTTTTAAAGAACATTACTTAGCCTCTTTGAACCCCACTTTCTTAATGTGAAAGAAGTACTAAAATACTTCACAGAACTGCTGCATTGCTGTGAAGATTTATCTATGATATGCGTGGCATTTTATCCATGCCTGGCATCTTCTTTCCCACCTAGTCACAACTATTTTGCTGCACCACCTAGTTTGATGACTCCCTGTTACACAGGTTCTCACCTTAGGCATCTGTGTCCACAGGTGCTGGGCACACAAAGGTGCTCAACCCATAAGCATCTGCTCTTGTTCCAGTATTGGATGCTGACATGCCAGTGAGAACATTCTTAATAAGCCGAGCAGAGGCATCTTCTGATATAGTTTACTTATGATTCTGGCCACAGCTGTTGCTGGTTGAATAAAGAGCAGAGTACAGCACAAGGCTCTGGAGAGCTACAAAGGAGGAATAAAACACGATCCTCCTTTTAAGGAGCTGATAAACAAATGGAAGAAATAAGTCGTTTGGCAGAAATCTATGACTCTGCACATTAGAAGGCAAGTACTTAGGTACAAAGCCAAGTTCCTGGGAAAAATGGACAAGATGGGTAGGGTGAAAAGGTGCACAGGGAACAGGTGGTGTCTGGACTCATATGAGACAGCCGCTGGTTGCATTCTCTATTACACTTACGTTTAAGAGCATCAGGGTATCAACAATACCATGCTTTTCCAAACATTTTTTTTTCAATTACATCCCAAAATATATGAAAGTTCTCCATGAAAGGATTTATAATTGTATTGTATTGTATCTATTTTATCTGGAGTTACTTATTAAATCCCCGGGGAGTACGCTTGAGCCTGTTTGGTTTCAATCATAACAGTTTATAGACCATGGACAGTTTCGCCTGAGCCTCTGAGAGTCATCTTGCTGCAAGGCCCTGAAGAAATGATTCCACTTTTCCCACACTGTATTCTCTACTGGGCTGCCAAACTAATCTGTCCAAAAATTCACGTCTTTCCAGTACTCAAAACTCTTAACGGATAAAGTTCAAACGTTCTAATATAGAATTTAACATCATTTATAATGTGCCCAACTTGTATTTCTACCTTTTCTTACAGGTCTCCACCACTTTCCTAACACTCCACCATATTGGGTTGTTTGCTAGATTCCAAATATGCCATACGTCAAATATGTCAGGTTCCAGTTATACCACATATATTTGCTTTTTTATTTCATTTTTATTTCAATACTAACATGTGTTTGAGGATCTTTGCAGTTCTTGGAGTAGGTTTCCTTCCCCGTTTCCATCCTGATTAATATGCTACCTCTTACATAACATTTTCCTCAAGCTCTGCCCTAGTCTGTGCTCCATCCTTGAGTCAGTCACTGCTTTCATCAACTCAGTACATACCACCTTATGCTATAGTGATGTGTCTACCCTGCCCTTAGAAACAAGAATCCTTTGCAACAGTCCTATTTTCAAAGTCCTAGTACAAAGGGTAGTGGCAATACACCAACAAAAACTGAATTGGAGTGACAGTTGTGTTGGTAAGCTGCCACTTCCTAAGGAAAACACCCAAAGAAATCTCTAAAATAAAGTATTACCAGTTATCCTTAAATATTGGGCTTCTTCAAAATGACTGATTACAACTATGCCTTACAAAGTGGATATTTAGAGAATCATCATATTATCCAAATCTCTCATAAAGTTTGCAAATTGTTATCTTATACCATTGCGTGAATATTTGAGAGAGATACATTGAAAAATCTAGAATACACTCTTGCAATGCTGGTAAAATTGTTTAGTGCCCAGGCACAAACAGGCTAAAGTTGAACAGAAACAGAGGGATATCAATGCAAATAGGAAAAAAATAAGCCACACTTTTTAAGAGCCAAGAAAACTCCTAAAAGATCTCAGGATTGTGTTGAAATACAAATTGACTGTGAATCATCAGTGAAGAGTTTCCATCAGGCTGTGGGTTTAAACTACATCAAGGAGACAGTCAGATTATATCTGATATCGATTATATCTGTTCTAGATTGTATCAGAATATAATCAGATTATATTTAAGGAAAAACTTCTGAATATCAAAGGCTGTTAAGTGGTTTCGGTTATTTAGTAAGCTCACCAATCAAGAGAAAAATACTAATGAATTCTGAATGCAATTACCTCCACAACATACTGCGAGATGGCTATAAAAGAACAGTGACCTATTGCAGCAAACAGGGAGGGGACAAATTTTTGGAATGCTTTTCCTGGGGTGGGATAAAAACAGAAGTCCGGTGACCCTGGAAGCTTTTCCTAGTCATGGGAGAAATTCCATATCACTGTTCTCTGGGAAAATGAAGAGATACATTCAAATCTAGCTCTCATAATATTCTGTTCATAGAGTTCAGATTACTTAAATACTCTTGAAATGTCTCCATCACCAAGTTTTCTTAACACTGAAAGTATCTAAATTTAAGTATTATGTTCAATCAAAATGTTCGCATTGATTTACTGATTAACACTGAAGAAAAAAATAAGCTTTACATCACAATTTAAAATGTGCAAGGAAATTAGTTAGGATAAATATTTATTTTCACATAACATTTCTTAGTTGTGAAAAACACAATATCCCGGTCACATTTACACATGACTAAAACTTTGCAATAAATTACATTCAAGATATTCAGTAATTTTGACCAGGAATCTGAGATTAGGAGGAAATATGTAACACTACCTTTTTCTTATATTTTGTACGATTTCAAAATATTAGGATTAACATAGGAATAGCATTAAAATTCACGCAAGAACAAAATGACTATAAAAATACTCAGAAAACAGAATTTCCTTGGATACGATTGCTTATTCAAATAGGTGATCATGTGAAGGCTTCTAATTCACTATGATCATTTTTAACAGAACAGTTATTAATATATTAAAACACTAGGAGAGGCTGCTTTGGGAACTGTCAGATACAGCTAGTCTAAATCATAAAATGATGGGAATGTTTACAATGTGGCATCTGCATTATAAAATACACAAAGGAAACACATTTGGAATGGAAAGTTTCTGTATTTTTCCTTGACATTTATAAACACAGACTTAATCAACTGCAAATTTTTCTTATATTTTTAGACTTATGTTCCATAAAAGACATGGCTCCTTAAAAGACGGTGAGGGGAATTTTCCAGAAGGTATCAAAATGTTGAATCTAAGCAAAGCTTTGTGGGGTTTTTTAGTTTTCTCATAATCTTAATCACAAGAAGATTTGGTTTTTTTTCACTTTTCATGTGCATATAAACACAGAATATGCAATTAATAGTTTAGAAAAGCCACAGGGCTCTGAATTATTATAAAACTGGACAATGAAGATTATAAGATTGATGATCACTGGTCATTCTTAGGGAACAAAAACATATGAGATTTTGTCTTTATTAACTTCACATTTATCTAAAATGAAATGAAATACTGTATTTTTAGTATGCTCAAAAATTCTTAATTTTCCTTCCTCTTGTATAAACTTAGTAAAGATGGATTATTTCATATGAACTGAAATATCTACAGAACCTTCTCAAACAGAATCTGAAATTTCCATTTAAAAGATTTTTTTCTACAACATGCATTAAAATTAAAAAGTGGAAAAGAACTCTACAGAAAAAAAATACAATTAGAGAACTGTCAGTCTAACATTAGAACATGATTCAGGAGCGGCATTAAGCAGTATGTGACCTTTAGCAGCAGAATAATTGTACAGGAGTAGAATTTCATGTACAATGATTCATGGGGCATTCCACAAGTTGTATATAGTAGGTTTATTTGGAAAACATTTGTTGTCAATGGGAGAGAAACTTAATAGTGTATTCTTGATAAAGGTTTACATTGAAAATTGCACAAAACTTACAAAGTTTTTCAAATGCATTTCATACAAGCCTAGGACTTGGTCATATAATCACAATTTGAATTTTAAGCAAATACTACTTGACTCTGCACAAGCCATGAGCAGGTTTCCACATATTTTTCCAAATGGCTTTAGGTTTTAGTAACATACAAATTTTTAAGTATTAAATGTATCATATTAAATCAAGGAAATGCATAAATACAATTATTAAAAAATGCTTTCAAACTAACTTTCTGATTTGGGTCTTTTGACATAAGTCACTGATGCTAAGCTATAAAAAATAAAAAGAAGTAAAACTACGTTTCAAAATTCTTCTGAATGAAATTATCAGGTATCTTCAGGTCACTAAAGTAGGAAAATACAAACTGGGTGAATATGACTTATCTCTTTAAGAAAGCAGTTGCTCCCATAAAACTAACAATGAGAATCCAGTGCTTACAAATGTCCAACATACAGCAAGGAACACAGAGATTCTTTGATCAGCTACTGTATATGCTCACAAGGGTGTCTCACTGCTCAGAAGTTCAAACACAGAAATGAAACAAGTATAGCACTACTTACAGTATGAAGGTGGATTTGGGACGAGAGACAGAATTTACAATACATGATCAAAGCAGTTTTATTAATAATTGTGGCACTCTTCTCATATATATGTAAAAAATAAATTGAAGATCAAGTCATAGACAAGTCTCCCTGTCAACACCTTTCCCTGAGTCAGCTTTCTTCTCCTTTCGGCTTTCAATGCTACAGGGAGAAAAAGGAGAAATTTATTACTGCAATCCAGCATGACGACTATGAGATCTGCTTGCTCAGACACAAACCCATCAACCCAAAGCACCACCAGGGCCCTTCGGCTTTGCTCTTTCATGCTGCGAAGCATAGATAGATAGCAACAATTAAAATCCTCTGCACTCAGGGAGATGGTAACCAAGCACTGCAGAGAGGGGTGAAGTCAAAAAACAGACACTGAAAAACAAAAAACAGACATTTTAAAAACAGTTTCAAGGCATGCAAGGTTAATACCAAGGCCCTCATTTGGACAAATGAATCACTGATGATTATTGGAAATGCTAGTCATGCTGTCTTCTTAAGATAACACTGACACTATAAATGACACAAGCGAGATATCTCCGTAGGTATTTCTGGGCCCTGCTGCAAATGGCTCATCCTTTGCACACAGACAGGATCCTGATCTTTGGGGAGCATTGCGTCACGGTCGGTAGGTCGGACACATCTCCTCTGGTCTCGGGGAGGTGGTCACCCTGCACGCTACCCTCCAAACACCTGAGCTGTCTCTTCACAGGCAAACCCTCACCCTGTCCATCAGAGGAACGATGTTTCATCCCACTCCTTCCAGAATAAACTCATTCCCAAGGGGCTTCTGCTGCATCTATTCTCCAATTAAACTTTAGCAATGAGAAGGCTGATGATCTGACTACACTGTTGTCTATTCTAAAAAATATTTTTCCAGTGTACACTCTTCCTACTCTCACGTTGATGCTTTTCATGGAAAATTCAAATAATGTGCTTACATGCACGAAGCTCACACCAAGAGCACACACTTTCACAGGGGCAGACCTGCTCACTCCCTGACGACCTCCCGCACCGGGTGGAGAGGGCCTCTCTCTGTCCCTCCCTGCTGCGGACATGAGGGGCAGCCTGCAGCCCACCTTTGGGGCCCTGGGCTGGAAAACTTGACTGTCAACTTTTGGCCCTTAATATAAAGTAATGAAATAGTTGGTGAGGAAACCCTTGGTTTTGTGACTCTTCCCCAAGTAATAAAGTGACAGTTAAAAACCCCTTTTTTCTATGGGGCCTCCTGTACAGCTTTCTTAGTGGTCAATAACTTAGACACATTCTAAGAGTGTGCTTTTAAAATTGTTTTTCCTCCAATTCAAGCTAGAAACAGCCCTTCTCAGTTGTCACCACCACCCGGCACCATCAGGTAAGAAGTGCCGGAGCTTCTGCCATCCGTGGCGCGCTGCCAGCACTGAGAGCTGGTGTGAGCGAGTGTCTATGGCGCCCGGGTGTATGCCTGCCACACTTCTCAGCACACACTCCTTACAGGTCAGAGCAAAGCCACTTTTCTCCCTTTTCTTTTCTCCTTCCATGAGAAGAGATGACAGTGTGCACATGATGTGTTGAGAGCCTTAACTCTGTATTTTTAACTCTTCTATCTGCATGACTCACTTCCTTCTACTTTAAGTACTTTTCACAGGACGAGTGTCTGCTACCCTACTTTCCAAAGTAACTTTTCTGCAGTCTCTACCTGACTTCCAGCTTCTTCTGCCAATCAGAGCTGGAGCAAAGGGGCCGCCCGGGGCAGTGGGGAAGCGCAGGGCGTGGAGTCTAGACACTACATTCAGTTCCCCGAAGCCAAGAATGAGCTGTATGACCTTGGACTAGTCATCTAACCTCCCTGGGACTTGGTTTCCTCATCAGTAAATGAATTTTGGACTAGATGGCCTCTGAATTCTCTTGTAGCTTCACCTCCAGAATTCTGAGGCTGGCATTCTCGATTCCAACTAGCTCTATCTTCTGAAGGATAGAATAACAGCTCTTACGCAGACATCATGGGGACAGAGACACACTGGTCCCTACCCATGCACAGTCCTATGTGCACAATGCTCTGCTCCGTGCCCTTTTTATAAGTGAGCACATTCCCAATGGCACTTTAAGTCAGCAAGCAGTGCAATGAGAGGTTCAGAACGCTGACTTGATTCATAGCTGTGCTCCCTCCTGCTATCTTATTTTGGTTGTATTGGTTGTTTGGTGACAAAATAATAACTAATTAAATGATTGTTTTTTATCTCTCCTCTCCTCAAAACCTGTGGTTCTGGTATCACATTAGATTCCATCAAACTATGAAACAGAAATGTTGTAACCAGATCTTGACTTCTATGAAAAATATTATCAGTTTGAATCTTTTTACTGTATGGCAATTACTCTCTTTATTCCTTGTTACGTTCACTTTTTGGGATGCCAATCAATGCTAAACTTTCATTGTAATAAATATATCACATATATGTCTTAAATATATATCATGTCTATTATGTGCTATTACAATAAACATATTTTGCACACATATTATATACCAGGTGCTCTGCAAAGACCAAGGGGATATAAAGATGGGTGAACAGTGTCCCAGCCCTTGGGGAATTACAATTTAAAGTATAAGGAAGTGACCCTTCAGGAGAGAGCAAAACTGCCAAACAATCTATGAAACTGTTTTTTTTCAATGACATCAAAACAGTTGTTATGAACAACATTTACCAAGCAGTCATGAGAGGGCCTAGGCCTGGGGCATCAGAGCAGAGAAGGAGAATCCAGCACAGAGGAAGGTGGAGGAAGCCAGGGGACAGAAGGGGGCAGGGAGGAGGATGGCCCCAGAGCCCAGCGTCTGCCACCAGGACAAAGCCCAAGCGCCGCTTTTCCTTCTGCAGTCGTCAGTCACCTCCCCAAGAAATGTCAGTCTTGATTGCCAGTTTCACAAAACACAGCAGTTGCTCGCTTATTGTGATGCAATGGGACCTATTTCCACCAATCCATTCAATAAGCTGCAGAGAAGCACGTCACATGCATGTGTAATAGCACTGATGAACCAGGATTAAGTTAGACAAGCTACAGATGTGGGAGAATTCAGTTCGTTCTCAGATCCTTCACCCAGTTAACCTGGATAAAATGTCTTTGGCAACAAAAAAAATGAATGAAATAATAAAGAAAATATAACTACTATTCCAAACTTCACTAAAGAACAGTATCTAAGCTTCTCTGATAAGCATGTAGGTCTGTAGCAAGGAATAGAATGGAAAACTACCAGGGGTGAGGGATGTCAAAGATGGGGCATGGAAGCGAATGTAGGTCTCAAGAGATACAGACCCTGGTAATGTGGGTCTTTAAGCCTTTTTTGACCAGGGGATACTCTAGCAGACACAGTATCTTTACAATTCCTCGTTCTCATACTTCAAAGTCTTCAATCGATACCAATAGAAAGAGATGGCCTTGGAAGAGTACTACTGTACTGGTACTGGTAGTTTTAGGATTTTTGGAAGCCACACTCATTCTTCCAGTTTCTACCACTGCGAAGACGAAACGCATTCACATCTAACCAAGAGAGATTTTTTACATGAAAAATCTAAAGGTAATTTTTACATCTAACTGTAAAGAAAGTGGGGTAACTTTCATTCCACAAAAGTTTAAATCTTACATTATTGAGAACATGAGTTCAAAGAATAAGCAGCAAGTGGTTATATCAAAATATAAAGAACAGTCTATTTAAAATTGGACCCACTGAAAGCACACTACATTTTTCATTATAGTTAATCTACTGTCTTCTAGACACATATTTTTAAAACAAGTAGGTTCTTCTGGTGAAAAGCATCACTTGACTTTATTATTTACTTTAAGGATTTACCTAAAATAGCACTGCATAAAAACTTTTGATTGAACCAAAGAAAAACAGAGAAAGAGTCTGCACTATAGATCCATATAGTTCAGCAAGAAAATCAATCTTAAATTGGATTATCTCAAATTCTCCATGTATTTCAAAGGCTGGCATTTTATTTTGAACCCATACACCTGGAGTTCACATTTTAAAAATCAGAGAAATGCTATATTTTTTCATGTAAAAGGGCCCACAAGCACATATTTCAATTGAGTTTAAAAAACTACCCTTCTCATAATTCTGGTTTGCTTCCAAGACTTCTAGCAAAACAGAATGACTGTGAGGATAAGGCTATCAGACTGAAGCAGGGATCTTGGAGAAAGGAAGATAAAGCGCGGCTTAGAATAAAGTATTACTTCTGCTTAAGCTAAGCAAAGACGTACATGAAGATTTTAAAGCCTTGATAAATGACAGACAGCATCAATCAAAAGTCTTTGAGAGAGCCTGCTGAGTGACTTATATTAACCTCCGGAAAGCACTGTAGGCACTTGATGGTGGGTGGGGGTTGGGAGAAAGAGATGATGAGAGAGAGAGAGAGAGAGACGATTAATCCCCACTTTCTGGGGTGAGGGCTCCCTGCACATCCACTTTTGGATTGTTTACACTGTGATAGAGATGACACTGAAGCAGCATGCCATTTTGGGGTGACAAAAACTAGCAACAAGAGATATTCTCTAAGCTGAATGTGGTCTCTTTTTCCAGCCCATGTTTCCAAATACATCTCATGAAGTCAGGTAAAGTTTGGAGGCTTGGAAGCATGGTGGTGCGTAAATGGAAGCCCCCAGCTTGGCAATTTCTTAATTCAATGGTCAAATTTTCTTTTTCCAGTACAGAAATTTGATATCATTACTAATATAGTCTGTGCGATTTGCTGATTTATGTATGGTGTATCCGTACAAGTCGTGCAGGGAAAAGAGTTTACTCAAGTTTCAAACCCTCTTAAGGAGCTGAGTAGTTATAGAAACACCATAAACACTCTAATACTTAATCTAAGCCAGACTCTTCATGCCTTTTGCCTCCCCAAAACTCACACGGAGAACAGAGGCTGACCAGGTTTCTAGAAGACACCATTTCACATAAGGAAATGCAATGAAGGAATAGGTTTGAGGGAGAGGGTCTTACCTTTGGGGAATCAGCTTCTAGAGTGATTAGGAAGGGGAGCTTATGACAAAAAATGTAATATAAAAATTAAGTAGAAAAAGTTAATTTAAGGTCATGAAAATAAAGGAACTTAATAATTAAACACTGCCCCAAACCCCTCAATCACTCTTTAATAAGAAGAGATATTAGCATAACAAACAAATTTTTTCTCAGATCAGCATCTAAAAAAGACTGGATGATTTGAATTCTTATTTATAAATTCTGGAAAATTCATTTGGAAATCCTGTGGTGACTCTTGATATTTAAGGACACGGTCTTCCCCCAGCATGCATTTGAAACTATCATCTATAACTACAAGAGTTGTTTGTAATGTTTGTATTCAGAGAAATAAGAATGGGTAAAACTTTCTGGAGTGGAAAGTTTTGGGGTAAGCAGTTTAGGAAAGATTTTCTAGGGGGTTGGAATAAAGGACTGGAAAAATACGAAATACAAAATCATCATGGCATGTACCATATGGGTTTAAAAAAGGACAATGGGGGAATGCAAAATGTGGTCAGATATCTAAGGGGGTCTTGGAAAGTGGGTGATGAGGGAATACAATAAAATCTTGCTGCAAGAGTAAGCCAAAATGCATCTCCAAAAATGTCATAACCCCCCATCATGCACTCCTTTATAGCACCATTCCTCCCAAATGCCATAGTTTGGGGATGAACTTTTAATTTGAAAGGGGGATGGTGAAAAATATACTCACAAATGTGATCATTACAATTTATACCCATTTTTTAAGGAATTTTCTGATAAGTTTTAGATCTAAATCTGATGGAAACCAATACTAATCTTTTGCAAACAGATTCATGTTATAAAATAACTGGGATCAGCTTAAATTTACATTATTTTAAAATTCAAACCTTTTAGAAGGAAAGCTTGACTCCTTATCTTTAGAGTTGTCAGCAGTAATCAGAAGGTTCCTCCACAAGGCAGTCTTTGACATTTCATCAGAAATATTGATCACAGATGGATCATCTCTAGATAGGAGATTACCAAAAATTAAATAATAAACACTAAAAAAGTAACTGTAGTTAGCTAGCGATAGAAACTAAATACAGGGCAGCCTTACACCTTTGCACAATATTTTCGATAACTAAATGTTAAGAAATTGAAGTTATTAAATAGTTGAATAGTTATTAAAATTATTTGACAAATTATGTTTTCATTTTAAAAAGTATGAAAAATAAAAATGTAAGTGACAGATTCTGGTTATATAGAAACGGGTTTTGGCTATACTTTTCCAATTCATTTCAAATTACAGAGATTATGTTCTGTATGTTCATCGCTTAGCCTCTTGCCTCTGACTTGCAGAGAATGTCAAATCACTTTACTCTTCTGCTCAGACTCTACAGTGGCTCCCAGTCACTCAAAGCAAAGGCCCACTGCAGACACTCTGTGGCTCTGTCCCCTCCACCAACTTCATCTCCTGCTATTACAGCCTGCTCCCCCTTCTCCAGCCACAGGCAATGACTCCCTGACTCTTCTAGAACACTACAGGCTTACTGCTGCCTCAAGGCCACGTATTGCTCTTCTTTCTATCTATAATATTCCTTTACATGGTGCAACCCTGTCTTCCTTTGTTCAAATGCCTACTACTCAGGCAGGCCTTTGCTCACTACTCTTTTAAAAATTTCTATTTCCATACCCTCATAGCGACCTCATCCCAACGTTTTGCTTTTGTTTTTATTGCCCTTTTACCATCTGAAATACTATACTATCTTACCCATTTATTTATATATTTTCTCTCTCTACCTACCTTAATTCTACGTGAACATATGCTTCACAAGGACAAAGATTCTTGGCATTTCTCCACTGCTCTTCCCCCAAGACCCGGACCGAGCTTTGCACTTGGTACCCACTCATAAATATTTGTTGAATAAATGAAAGCAGCCTGTGAGTTGGTAGAGATCTTCCAAATGGCAGAGGAACCTGTAATGTCAGGGCCTGTACTATGCTGGGCACTCTTTTGTATTTTAAAATGGCACTGATTAGAGGTGACATTTGAAACTCTCTAAAACATTCCCAGGGCCAGGAACACAATAAAATAGCAGCAGAGATAAATCACAGGCCAAGTCAGAGAAAGTTTCATTAGTGGGGAAACAACACTCTTCTTACTACATGTAAGAAAGATAATCTGCTGTGAAAAGAATAATGTTCTACAGAAATCCTTAGGCTGACCTCATATGACTCTCCTTGGTCATTGTTCCCAAGAGGGCAACAAATTCAACTTTTAAGAGGAACACTAAGGGTCTGGAGCAAGACCTTGCATCTCACAGGCCCCCTCTCTTGCCCAATCTGGACATGTGTTCTTTAATTCCTCCAATCCACCCAGCCCTTGGCAATTCAAAATATGAGATCAACTTGTTTCCAAAAGTGTCATGTGGAATATAAGGGTTTCACAATATCATGTGACAAAGAGTCTTGTGAGCAAAAAAAGTCTAGAAAATGCTGGATTAAACGTTAGATTCTTTAATATCCCAGTGTAGATCGTGAATCTCCAAGCTGGGATATATTGTGAAACATTCTCCAAACTTATTGAAGCAGAAAATCCTTTCAAGAAGAAGTACGTATGAGACCAGGTTTCAGCAGAACACACTTGGGAATATGCTGATTCAACTACGCAACTAACAGGATTTTAGAACTTAGCTATTGTAAAAAGTAATAAATTATTTTTAAAAGATAGATAAAGTGTTTTCTATTCTGCTGTCAGACCCTGAAGATCCAGAAGATTTTCTCCTATTTTTTTTTTTGTTAACACTATGACAAATTCCATCCTCAGAGAAAAGTTTTCTCTGACTCATATTTTACTGGTGTGTTCTTAACTTATCCTGAAGTACTGTCAAACCACATGTAATATTTTCATCAAAATACTTTCAGAAGTTTTTATTTTGACTTACAGCAGTTTGCTTTCCTTTGCTATATCTTTGTGCAAATAAAGATTAGCATATTTTGGAGAGGTACCCAAGTATTTTCTGCAATGACTGGTATAACTGAATCCTTCAACTCAAGAAATAGATTATCTCTTTGGAAGTGCCATTTTTTAGGGGTAACTTCCCAGAGTTGAGACATTTACCTGTGATCCATTTAGTGAACACCTAGCTCATTTGTCACAGAACTGAATCTTGATCTGTCTTCAGGTGCTACTATCAGAGGATATGAAAGAGAGCTTCCATATACATCATAAAACATAAGAAGAAAAGACTTCAGACAACATCTCTCTGCCCACCTTCACTTTAAGCTAATTAATTGCCTATGGTCACACAGCTCTTTGTGTCAGAACTTGTATTGGGTCAAAGAAATCAAATCCCTAGCTTCAGTTCTTTCTACTCTAACACAACTTCAACAAACCTCTATAGGAATTCACACAGTACAAAATTCTCAAGTAGTATATGTAACAACACTTTTCATTACTCAAATTGGTGTGTTTTTATATTTATGTCTTACCTATAGTGCCCTTCCAATGGGAGCTGTACTGTGCCCTCATCTTCCATAGCTAGCATACTTTGTTCTTCCTGGAGAGACACATGTAAAATACATAAAATGAACCTGATGAGTCTCCATTTTACATTAAAGAAGAAACACAGATTAATGTTTCACTATCTCATTAACCTCAGGACCTTCCACTTTGTTTGCATTTATTAATGCTAACACAGGTCCTTTCAATGAAGCATCAGCTACCAAGAACATAAGTAATTAATGAGAGTCTCATACAGCAAAGTAATTTAAATGCTAACAACAATCTTCTTCATGTCACTCAACGTAAAACATGGTTATTTTCCAAGCAAATTATTTAGAAATTAATCTAAGTTTTATAAAGACAAAAGTAGGGGTAATAAAATAATTTTCATTGTTATGAAGTTGAAATTACATTCTCAGAATTCTCTATTAGAAAGGAATGAGGGATGTATTTAGAGCAGTGGTTCTCAAGCTTTAGTTTATATCAGAATCACCTAAGGGCTTGTTAAAAATACAGATTGCTGGGCCCCACCTACATAGTCTCTGACTCAGTAGGTCTGGAGTGGGACCCAAGAATTCACATTTCTAGTAAGTTTCCAGATGAAGCTGATTATATTGGTCTGAGCACCACCAAGAACTACTGCTCTAGAGACTTAAGGAAACAGTGGAAGATAGTTTCCTGTATGGACTAAAACACAAGTGTGTTTTCCACTTAGATGTATTTTAGTTTTTTGTTTTATGCATCATATTTCTTCTTATAATAACAATAACCCACCCTTCTCCAAAGGGTGGAAATGCTTCATATATGCATTTCTTTATATATAACATTTTAAAACTGTATCTTTGGAATGAAGATAACCTTATGCTACCATGCCATTTTAAATTGTCAGAATTATTGGCCCTAACTCCAGAAATGGAATCTTAAGTTGTATAGAGATGACCAGCTAAGTGATTCTGTGACCAAATGTGGACTGAAGAAAGAAAACAGGGGTGTTCCTGGAGACTCATAGCTTCCCCTTTCCGTAGCTCAGCAGTAGCCTGACTGGTCTTAATCAGCTTCCAGAAGACATGCCTTTGGCTGATGTCATTATTCCTGGAATGCAAGGTTGTTCCTATGGTCTTTGTTTTGCAGACCTTGGCTCTCAATTGCAAGTGGCCCAGTCTAAAAAGCCCTTGCCATATATTTTGTTGCCTAAAGAAACAGTGTTTTCTAGAGACTCCTTAGCTATGAATATATAATGAATATAAATGTATGAATATATAATGTAAGGTAGGGGCAGGTCTCATTCTCACCCTTGGAGTGCTCTCTACACACGTCCAACCTACTGGCCAAGGCGGGTTCCCCTCTGCTGGGACCTTGGCCTATGGAATATCTATGCGCAGCCTATGCTCTGGAATAATGGAGAAGCCAAGGGACTACCCGAGCTCCGTTACTTCTCTGCTTACAACCACCCCCACACCCACACCCCACAACGCACACACCCCTGCTATATTTATACTCTATGGGACTAATGTCATGTGTCTGATACCTCTCTGCCATTATAGGAGCTAACTCAATTATCGTTCTCTGTTGTTCAAAAAAATATTATTTTAAAACCCATCAGATGTATTTTATTACTTGTATCTTACACCCATTCTTCTTGTTGAGGCCTGTTCTATGACAACTGATACAAGGTGAGTAAAACATACCACTAGTTTCAAATTACACAATTAAGCATTTTAGCTGAGCTAATTTGTAGACTCCAATGAGGCATGCCTTGCAAATGGGTTAGTCACTGTATATAGAATATAATGCATGTCATATTAATTTATATGCATATCATTGAGGGCTTAGGCAGAGCATATGTATCATTTCAGGCATAAAAGATCACTTTTTCTAGACAAAAGTTTACCTTAATGCACATGGAGAGACATAAAGAGAAAATATTCAGTGATTCCAAATCCCAGTTAAGAAAAACCAAGATATAAGCAAAATGTAATTCTTTCCTTGGTTGTCCACTGAAAGGGAAGAAGCCAGGTAGAAAGGTTTAATAGAGTCAACTTCAAAAGTGCCATCCATGCTTAGGTTACCTGGCAGCAGAAAACTAGGCTTAAGTTTCAATCTAACAGCAAAAAATTGGGCCAAAGCTTTGGGAACAATTTTGTTTTTTCCTCAGATGATTTTCCACTTTTCTCTCAAATTGCTTTCAATAATTATTTTGCACTCTGTGGCTTGTTAGCATGTGTGGGCTTTATACTAGTCATAATTCTATCCAAACAAAAACTCATCACCTCTAAAGATAGCATTTCCAAGCCCTGCTTATCTGAAGAGAAGGGTGGCAGAGCAGCCGCTGCCTTCCGTGCCAGAAGGAAGCTGGGTGGGCCCAGAGCTCAGGGATGGAGGGCCGGCTGCGTCCCAGGCAGCACTGTGAGGAAGCCAACAAACCAAAACTTTCTGGGGAGCCACAGGCAAATCAGGCTCTAGCGGTCACGACAGCCACAGCCTGGTTTATCTCCATCGTAAAGAAAAAGAGAGTGAAAGCAGAAAGCGTACTGGGCATCCATCACCTGGGAAGTCAAACAGTACCTTAAAATGAGTTCCATTCAGCACTTCGTTTACACAAGGCCCACCAAAGATATGTCGAGTTCTACAACATGGTGAAGATGTTAAAAGGGTGATGATCACAGTTTACCCAGAACACTTGAGGGGGGTTTACTGATTTAACTAGAGGAACAGTCATACTGTGATTTGAATGCCATCTTTTAATTAAGGTAGTCAAAGCAGCTTTGGATACTAATTAAGGACAGTTAATGTCATATCCAGTAAAAGGAAGAAAAATTGAAGCTTAAAAATGTAATATATTCAACAGTGCTCAAAGGTTTCCTAAGCATGTATTATGTGGTAGGCACACAGTGAATAAGTAGAATAATCCAGGGACTGTTCATAAATTCATTCAACAAATATGTACATAACCGGTACTATACCAGTAGTACTGGCAGTACAACAATCAAAAGAAAGATATAAATCCCACTCTCAGAGGATAAGGATCACGCATAAAAAGTACATAAAGAGAAGTGACATTTGAGTCAGTCTTATTTGATCAGTTTGGTAGTAGAAAGGAAGAAATTGTAGGCAGGAAGAAACAATGTGGGCCAAGGATGAAATGCAGGAATAAATAAGATGTGTTTGCATGATAATGAACAGATAAACTGGCCTGTACTAGGTAGAAGTGGATAGTAAAATTGGAGTTAAATTGTGGTATGTTTTGATGAAGAAGATGTTATATACAAGATTGCATCATGAATCTGAACTGTATTTTGTTATTGCATCAGAAATATAATTCATATATCATGATACTGTCCTACCTTTAGCGAAATAGTGTCTGTTACTATACCCATTTCTCAGGTAAAGTCTGTACCTATGTGGAAGCCTTCAAGTTGCTCAGAGTACAGACAATAATAGCAGAGAGTCAAGGTTCACAGAGATGCTTAGAGTATTAGAGAAAGAAAATATTCAGAAATGTTAGAATTCACAGATCTCAGGTGGAAGGGATTTCAGAAATCAGATTTACACCTTTATTGTACCCCAAGAGGAAAAGAAGACCTACAGAATGTAGGAAGTACTTGGCTGTTTCCTTCTAGATTACCAATAGAATAGATACTGCTATAAGCATCACACACACACACACACACACACACACACACACACACACACACACACACACACAATAAATACTTTGAAAATCATAAAACATTATGTTTCTAAGAGGTATTTCTTAAAATTTCCAACAGAGAAAAGAGCGAGTGCATCAACTACAGTATTCACTTTAACAACGAAAACCGAAAAGAAAAAATGGGAAGGAGCCATTGGCCATACAGAATTCCTATAAATAGATGGATGGAACATATGTTTTTCATACTTTAACAACGAAAACCGAAAAGAAAAAATGGGAAGGAGCCATTGGCCATACAGAATTCCTATAAATAGATGGATGGAACATATGTTTTTCATCAGATATTTGATTCAGTGTCTCTAAGAGACTTATTTAAATTACTACAAAATACAAAAATTCTTATAAAGTTAACTTTGGATTTAGAAGATTCTATTCTGGGGATACAGATTCTGGGCTTTAGGAAAGGTGAGTTATCTCAAATTTTAGCATGCATTAGAATCACCTGGAGGTCTTGTTAACATGGATTTCTGGCCCTATCCCCAGAGTTTTGATTCAATAGGTCTGAAGTAGGGTCCAAGAACTTGCATTTCTTACAAATTACGAGGTATAGGCTGGTGCAGCAGAGGTCCTGGAACTTTGAAAAACCACCGCTTGAGGAAGAAGAACATGTTTGCCTGACTCTATGATTCAATTAGAAACAGCGTTCGCCTGTGTAATAGTTAGGCCATGCCTCCCAAATTCACGACCAGTTCTGATCTTTCTTAGTAGTGAGACGTGCTCTGTAATTTGTTTAATTGCACTCGTTTTTAGATTGCTTTTGCATCTTCCTGGCCTTTCTCGTGATGCCGCTTCATTTGGATCAAAAGTCTCACTTGTCCCCTTTTTTTTTTCCCTATAGCATATATGTTAGAGTGAACCCCCCTTAAACCAAGAGGTGTAAATATCACGATCACTGCCCAGAGCTGAATTTCCAGGATTTATCTCACATTAGCTGCCTCTGCCCCCGCCCAGGAGCAAACATTCTGCTGAGGCTTTCTGCTTTTAACAGCAGCCCTTTGTCAAATGTGTACAATGTCCTAGAGAATATTTAAGTAGGAAAGAAGGCATGTTGGTACTCTGAGCACATTTGGACATCCAGAATTTTATTCTGCAGCCTTCCCTTTACACAGAGCAATGTGCAAAATGTCAGGGTTCCAATATTCATTTCTATCCTGATTATAATCCTTTCTTTCTAAAAACTGAAGCATATGCATATGCATATGCATGAAGTACATGAAAATTTGGAACAGAAGCTCTGCGACCTTGGACTGGCCTGTGTAGCTATTTATTCTGCTTAACTCATTATTGAATTTTAAGGTCAAACTAATGTTTTCTCAATGCCATAAGACCAGAAGCGGGCTACTGATTAGGAAAACCCTGGGGAATAAAGGTACAAGCTTTAAACTATCATCAAAAGGACAAGAGGTGAGCCTACTTTAAATTCAAGTCTCAGGGAGCCGAGACATTTTCTGCTATTTACTATCTTTCCAGATCACAATCAAAGTTACTCAATTAATTTGAGCAATTGCAGAAATGCAACATTTCTGGAGAACTTGTCCATTTACCACCTTACTATACAATTTCTCGAAAGACTGGGGCTTGATGTAAGACGCCACAGGAAGATCTCATCCTTCAGTGGAGTCCATTGCCTCTCAAGAAAATGAAATATTGACATTTGGGTGACCAAGTCACCCAGCATTTAGAAAATCAACCAGCATTTAAGTTTTAGTGTAATCCTCCTTAAATCTTCCTACTCCCTATATGATTATACTCTTTTAATGCTAATTCCAAGATAGAAACTGAAACTTGAAACTTGCTTTTCTATCTCCATCGTCAGAATGAGCATCACCTCTTTTTGCACTATTGTTCGCACTAGTCGTGGCTATATTTTGATGTTCAATTATGGATTACTTCTTCACTGTATTATTGATTTTCTGGATTATTGCATTATTATTGATTATTGTTTCTTTCCATGTGCTAAGAACTATATGAAAAAATAATCATCATATTTATCTAGCTGATATTTTAACGGTCTTTTAAGATGCCTGATTAATATATCACAAAGTATTTCCCCCCACTTTTTCTCATACTCGGATCTGAAGGATACAGCTATAAATTTGCCTCAATAAATCTTTAATCTATTTTTATATACTTTTGGAAAACATGAATTATAGGAAATTTAGTAATATTTAATTACTTCTAAAATCTTTATGTTCATAATCAGAAAAAGTATATACCCACCAGAGCACAGTGAGTTCATAAAATGAAAAGGTTAGGAGCTCATTAAATAGGATCTTTGCCTGTCTGAGATTAATTAATTCCTAAATGGGTATCTAGCATGTGTACATATAAGAACCATACAAATGCAGTGGTTCTGGGCAATAGAAATAGCAGATTCTAATAAATTTATGATTGTTATCAAACTGTATTCTTTTATTTCACAGACATATAAAGGGAGAATGACAAAATTTCTTTGAATGATAAAAGGGAAGAATATTAAACATATGTTATATACACATATCATTTTTATTTTACAAAGTTCTAGAAGGGCAAGGATGCTCCATGGCATGGATATGGCCTAAGGAGACTGCTGTAGAGGGGGTGATTACATGGCTGGGGATGTTTCTAGCTTTTTCATAGAGAAATAGTAAAGACATTTGACAGAAAATCAAAGCAGGAGAATAAATCAAAATTACATTTATAAGTTACTGCATTAATAAACTTAGCAGTACTGTCATCAGAAAGACTGAGGAGAAGTTCAAGATCAACAGGTTTTGTCCTCTTTGGAATTAAAACTTCCTTGGAAATTGTTTTCAGCCTGAATAACTTTAATTACATCAAGTATGGATATTTAAGCATTTGGAATATCTACATTCTGGTGTCCATTTTATTTACACTTAATTGATGCCAAATTCTGTCATGTTTTTCAACAGTATCTGAAGATGAGAGCTAATCTTAGGAAAGTCCTAAAAAGAAAGACTACCACAATATCCTAATTAAAGCATATTTTTAAAAAAACTCAGTTAAATAAGAATAAATCATACAGATAAAGAAATAATGATAATTTTATTGTATATTTTAATGTTATATCACTAGAAATATGACTATTCTGTCTGTAGTATTTGGGAAAAGTGAATTATTCATACAAAATTAAGATGTATCATCATGATCAATCTCTAAATGTGGAAATCCATTTGCATGTCAGTGATGGGAAACCATGCAAAACTGAGGGAATGCCAGATAGCCACACATCATGTAGCCATATTTGTAGGAACATCTGAGCAGAAATCTCATTAGATGTCATGCGCTAATCTCGCTTGACCAAAAGACTGAGTAAAACCTAAAACTAGTGAAATGTTGTCAAACAGATGCTCCAAAGAAGAGAAGAACACATATATGGTTTGAGAAAATATTCTGTAGATAGAAAAGTAAATACATTCACTAACCACCTTATGGAAGAAATAATGAATGATTCTTACCAGTATTTTATTTCATCTTCATTTCTATACACACAGAAATTTTGTTCTTGTTTCATATGCTATAGGCTCAGTCATTCTACTAAGTGACACACTGGTCATTTTTTAATTTATACTCATTGCAGTTTTTATGTACTCTAAAAAATATTATGACCACTAGCCTTCAAAGGCCCACAATCACACATGAACTCATATATGCTCTAAAACTTGAATTGTTTTAAAACATCGAACAGAATAGACCAAATCAGAATAGTCCATGAAAGTCATTAAATCCTGAAAGCTTTCACTTACTCAATCTTAAATCAGCCTGAAGGCAAATAAGGTCACATTTTCCTCTTAAGCATTTCATTTATTTCAAGAATAACTAATTTTATCTTTTGATTAAAATTAGGATCTTTTGATGAAAACCTTGTTCCCTAGAAGAATACCAAGAGTAACAATGTCAGATTTTTTTCTTCTCACATTTACAACCAAACAGCAATCGTGGCATGACCATAACTGGAAGACAGTTAAGCATCAGTATGTTTCTGCCATCCACAGGGAGAACTCAGCAACATTAACCTTACAATTAAGAGGATAACGAAGCACAAATCATTTGCATATTACACGAGGTTTGGTTTCCTGAGGGAAGATCTGTGCTCTCTTTCTGTTCAAGCTCCAACTTTATGATTTTAAACATTGATCTTCCAAACCAGTCCACCTGTGGTTGTTAGTAATCACTATCTGAAGATAAACACAATAATTTAGTTTCGCAAAGAACCATGTAAGGCTCCTTTTTCTTTTCTCTATAAAGATACTGGTTTTGCTCTGACTTACTTCTTTTTCAGCATCTTCTAGCTTCTTTTTCTTACTCTCAGGCATTAAGTCATCCAGCCAGCTGAGTTCCCGTTTGGTAAACAAAAGGTCCATTAACTTTCTTACGAATACCAGAGCTAACACCTGCAGTAAACAACAAAATAACTTTAAAAAGCGAAAAAATAGAAATGGGAGATGTAGGTTTGTTTATTTTTTGCAGAGACAAAAGATATATGTGCACAAAATATATTGTCTATATTTTTGCCTCCTTCATTTCCTTTTCCTACCACACCCCAGAGTCATGTAAAGAAGCTATTAAAAAAAACTACAAAACATATTCGACTGTTTTTTTAGAGAGTTACTAGTTTTATAATTTTAAATGAACATTAAATACCATTCTTATCTATACTGATAGTATTTTAAATTATTTATAGGTATTCAAATTCACTATATTTTGGGAAGTATTTGAAACTTATCTGAAACATTTAATGAACTTTAATTTTTTAAATCCCCCTAACTTTCAGATTTGCTAGTATATCTTTAATGTTCAATATTGAAAGTTTACATTTTTCCACCCAACTTCAATTAAAAAACCATTACCAATAATCAGAACGATAGGACAAAACTAATATGAATCACTGAAATCACTGAAATTCATATATAATCTCAAACCCTCTTCAGTCACTAGTTTTAGTAGCTGAAGTTGATGCAATGGTTTCTCATGATCATTCAAAATGACTCTGTTGTTCTGATTTCAGTTCATGTGTTCCAAAGAGAGAAGAGAGTCAGAGAGAAAGAGTTAACTTAGAAGTTTCGTACCATCATGGGAAAGACAATAGCAGCTCTTGAAACTTTTATTATCCACAAAAGGCCAAGGCAACTCATCTGAATAACCGTGAAGAGATGGACTTTTCGAAGTGGAACATGCCTTAGATATATAAAATCTGGTTGATGTTTTGCAGGCATCCAGAATAGCTTTATTCTATCAAACAACTGAAAGATAAACAGACTAAATTGGTTTTTGACAACAGCGAAAGTAGGACAAGTAGATATTCAACATGCTCCCAAATATGATGCATCTGGGTCACACTTAAGTTGACATCTTAGCATCAGGAAAGGGAATTGTCATGCATACTCTCTGAAATGCTATTTCAGTTTTCACAATAGCCCACATTTCTGGAACATGGGGACAGGTTATAATTTAGAAGAGTTTAAAAATATTAAAGCTAATGCTAAATGTTGCTACCTGGGAGAGTGTGGCCGTGAAAGGCCAAACTATCCTCCTCCTCCTCCTCATTATCAGATCACAACCTCTTCCTTTATTTGCCCACTAACACCGGCGCTTCCGGGACTCTCACTCTGTCTTTTCTCCTGGAATAGCATATCCATAACCATGGCTTCAGCTTTCACAGGGCGTCTTGTTAAAGATGCCCTGACCTACATTCAGCTCTCTCCCTCCTGAGCTCTTAACCCATATCCAGCTGCTGAATAGGGTGTTTTGACCTCCTTATTTTGACTCTGCTGTTTTCACCTGGCCCACTGATCCTTGACAAGGTTTAGATGCTGTCTTTACAAACACAAACGTCTTAGCCACAAAGATTTAACCTAGGTGAATTATTGTTAATACAGTATTTTCCAGAGCAAACTTTGTTAACTCAATTTAGTATTTTTTACCAATTTCCTATCTGCAGTGTATTTATTTTATAAACTTTAGATGTTATATATTACATATAGTTATCTGTTATATATTACAAATACATATATTTTTTCAATCATATTTTATTGAAATTATTTTCATCTGATCGACTGTATTTCTGTTTAAGTTTAACATAAAGACAGTATTATTACTTGAGGACTAAATATTATTGCTACAGCTTTGATTTTGAGGCCATTTTTATCTACCAAAGCAGATTCTCACAATTCAAGTTTTATAAATTAAATTTTCACAAAAAACTTGAATCTTCAATGACATTTTGCTTACAAATTATACTGCCTGTTAGGTTTATTTTATGTGAATCATTTTGTTAAATTTTCTCAGGCCAATTTTTGCAGTTTTCAATGTCTCCAACAAGAAGTGATTATTTAAAAAATGATGGTTTCAATCACTGTCAGTTCTATTTCATGCCATTTGTACAGTAATATCTATTATGCATTTTCAAGAGAGTGATATTAGATTTTCTTTCTCAGCTAACTTACAGGAAAATTGCAAATAATCATCATCAAATATTCCAAAATTACTATTATATGCCAAGGGAGTCAAATGTTAGGATCAAGACATCCTGTTTTACCAAAATCTTGCTTGTATTACAATAGGAATCCCAAACAAAACATAAGCCAGTCTTTCCTTCTATGTTGCCTGTCTTTTGGCGTAGCATAACCTCTTCCCTGAGCCATCTAAACCCAAGTCATATGTCGTTAGCTGTTCATTTATTTATTCATATTCACTAGTACCTTCCAGAAATATTTATTGAAAGCCGTCTATGAAAGTACTGAGTGCTGATTTTTTTCCTGGTACATCCCTCTCCATACTACCCACAAATATTTTATTAGGTCTTATTTCTGTCCCCTATGTATCTCTTAAAATTACATGTCATTAAACAAATAAAACTTGGTGCACGGTGGAGATGGGAGTAGGGATGAAATAAAGTAAAATCCTCTGACGTATAACTGAATGCTTCAGTTTCTACTGAACTCCTTTTCCTCTGCCACCATTTCTCCATTTGTGAAGCTGTGTTATTGTGTAAGTGTACTTCGGTGTGTGGGTGCTTCAGTTGTTATTGTTTATATGGCACATTTGCTTTACTTTGGATTCCTGAAGTGTTGCAATGAATATAGATGTGGTAATATATCTGAGTACAAAAACAGCATCCGTGAGAACACTGTGATATGTTTTTTCTGCCATGTTGCACAGTGAGAAGCCTAGATCTCAAGTTCCTTAATATTGCCAAACAATCAGGTAACATATCAGTTCCTCCAACATAGAGGGTAACTAACATGCTCCTTGAACTGGTGGTATTCAGCACATATTTATTGTTACTCAAGCAATGATAATCATGATACATGTATCCTGAGCTTCACATTTGGCTTTTATCTGGTTCTAATAGCAATACCCCATTTTCCCATCCAGTTAGCCACAAAATTCAACTTCAGGGAATTTCAACTCCCTGAGTTTGGGGCTCACTTAAATGTTCACTAACCCTGTTTCTCAGTGTGAGACCCCGCTTGCTATTTCATTTGTGCTATTTAAAGCTCATTATACTTTTCTCATGGGCCTTTGATAATGTTTTCCTCAATTTTCACTTGAAAGATTCACACCCTAAATAATTCCAAAACTTGACATTCTTGTTTAGTTCTAAACCTCATGGGTATAAAATCATGTGAGTAGAATTAGGGGGGAAAAAAATCTGTTGAAACCTATCAAAATGATTTTACTTTGTTTCTTAAACTTCTGCTGCTGTATTTATGTAAGCCTGGGGCCTAATAATAAATACTTTTCACTTACAGATGAAATTAGTACTCGTGGAACTTTTGCCAAAGGCAAAAGAAAAAACAGCAAAACAAATAAACAAAACCTCCAGTACTCTTCGCTATCTGCCTTACCAAACCAAGTCTTTCAATATACTATGAAAATACACTTTTATAGGTGAAATTATAAATGAGGAAATAAAATCTAATATGAATAAAATTTAAATGCATAACGCTTCTCAAACATCTCCCTCTCCCAAGTTAAATTCACCCAGTGTCAGGATGCACAGTCATACTATCTGTTTTGGGTGTACAGCGATCTTACGATGACTTCTTATTGAAGTTTTGTCTCGCTTCTGACATCATCCATCACCAGCCTAAGACCTAAGTGCTGGCCTTTGTCCCCCACTCAGAAGCGGGTTAGTTGTTCATTCAGGACAAGAGTTCCTGTGCTGTCTGTCCCTCTGTGTCAAGAGTTTAACTAAGCTACACTATGGTTTTGGAGCCTCAGCCACCATTTTGCTTGGCCAAGCGGCTTGCCATCACCGTAAACTGACACCGGCCCCTCCTGCAGGCACATGCCTTGAACATCGGCCTGCAGAGGCACAAGGAAACGTCCCGCTCCTGATAGGACTCCCCCAATAGCCTTGTGACCCAAAGTCTTCCCACCTCACAGAGCCTTCCCCGTGTATGTCCCTTAGATAAGGTCCCCGTGGGACTTACCAAAACCCCATTCTTTTGATTTGAATTGACCAATCTGGCCTTAACCCAGGAACCCAAACCACTCCATCCGCAAATCCTAGTAAAGGCACGGACCCCAGGTCCTGTCTCTCTATGTCTGTACTCTGCCTTGACCTCCCCACGTGGCCCCTCAGGGTGTTCCAGGTACTTCCTCCAGGACCTGAGAATAATAATTTTTTTAAAAGTCTCTATTTCCGTTTCTCTTGCAGTCGATTGTTGCGCTGTAGCTCACCGTCCAGCACCCTGTGCTCCACTTAACACGTGTTGATTCGACAAATTCAAAACACTCAGTCAGGTGACTTTCTATGTCTCTGAAAAGCAATGAACCTTGCTGTGTCACAGAAAAAGCAGCAATTTACACTTTCCTTTCTGTCAACAAAAAGTAAACTATACTTTTCTCAATAACCCTCAAAATTAGTTTCAAGAAAATTTAAATATTTTGGATTATGAAAGTCAAATTATAAAACAAGATTATTCAAAGGAAAATTTCAGTAAAAATCTGTATTAGTTTCCTAGCGCTGCAATAACAAATCACCACCGTTTGGTGGCTTCAACCAATAAAAATTTGTTTCTCTGGCAGTTGTGAGGCTCCAAGTCTGAAACGAAGGTGCCGGCAGGGCCGTGGGTCCCCTGCAGGGCGTAAGGGAGGGCCTCCGCTGCCCTTCCTGGTTCCCGGGGGCTCCGATGTGCCTTGGCTTACTGCAGCAAAGCCCCAGTCCCTGACTCCGTCGCACGTGGCCTTTCTCCCTGGGTCCCTCTGTGTCCTTCCCTCTTCTCGGAAGGACCCAGTCAGTGGATTTAGTGACTCAATCCTAAATCCAGGACAAGCTCACCTTGAGATCCATGACTAATTACAGCAGTAAAGATTATTTCCAAATAAGGTCACAGCCTGAGATTCCAGGTGGATATGAATTTGAGAGGAACACTATTCAACCCACTACAGTATCATAAGCAGGGATAACTGGCCAACAATCGCTGTAAAGATTTAAGATACTTGTGTTGGTTTTAAAATGTGTCCTGAAATTCTTTGATATGATGCTCTTCAAGAGATGGGGTCTAATTTCCCTCGCCTTGTGTGTAAAATGGACATAATGACTTAACTAACAAACACAAAACAAGTGGAAGTGGCCGTGTATGACTTTGGGGATGAAGTTAAAAGGCACAGGGACTTGGCCGTCCCTCTCTCTTACTGCTCACTCTGAAGGACTTTAGCTCCTTAGTCATGGAACTATCACACTTAGTGTCCTATGGAGAAGCCCGTGGGGTACAAAAACTAGGAACTGGTGTCTTTTGCTGTCAGCTGTGTGATAAGCCCATTGTGGACAGAGCTTCTGAAGACCTAGTCAAGCCTTCAGATGGTTGCAGCCCTTGTCCATGTCTGACAGCAACCACAAGAGACATCTTAAGCCAGAACAACCTTGCTAATCTGTTTCCAAATTTAGGACCCACAGAAAATGTGAGGTAATAAATGTTTGTTGTTTAAAACCACTAAGTTTTATAGGAATTAGTTATGCGGCAGTAAAAATTAATACAACAGTAGTTATCTAAACAACTAAGTTTTCCTTTATACTCTGAAATTTCCTTTCTTTATCCCTTTATTTTTAGCTTAATTTAAAAAATAATTCTATAAATACAAGTGCAATGGTAACAGAAAAGTAAATATGAAAGGAAACATTGGTCATGATTTCCCTATGTTAAGTTGTTTTCAATTATATCACCTTCCTTTTTAATCTACCCACACTCATAGCTCTATGACAGTACAACTTGTTTTCACTTTGTATTATACCATAAGCATTTCTACCATATTACTTTCATGTTCATCATAATTATCAATTTTAAAGGACTGTACCTAATGTTTTTACTGCTGTTGGACAATAGGGTTGTTTCCAGTATTTTGATGGTATCTGTAACAACAAACATTTTTGTGCTGGAAGGTTTTTTCTGTCTGAAGGAATAAACCATTTATTAGATTGCAGTATCAAAGACTAATGGCATTTGGATGTATTTTGCAACATACTGCTATTGGTTTTCTAAAGGGATTGTAAAGTCTAAATCTTTGACAGTTTTAATATACTTATGCTAAACAAATGACCCTAAGATTATGAACCTGCTTGAAGAAACTTATTTGTGGTAGGAAAGCTGCTCCTCACATGATGTCCTTTTCTTAGTTATCCCATGACTCAGCATTAATAGACCTTAAGATAAGTCATCACAGACGGTTTATTATAATTTACCTGAATTCCCTTTAAAGATGAAGTACCCATATAAAGAAACACTCCATACAGAACTGGCATGGGAATAAACTACAAAAGAACAATTTGAAAGAAAGACACAAGTTATTTTCAAATGTAATATGGTCATGCTATTTTGCACTTACCAAAGAAAAACACAGTAAAATAAATAAATATTTAGAAGCAGTATAAGACAGACCCAGAACACCTGGGTTCAAATCCCAGCTCCAGCACTTTTTAGCTGCAGTACCATAAGTAAGTTACTTAAGCTCTCTGTGCCCTAGATTCCCGATATTTAAAAAAGGATGATAATAATAGGGTTTTTATGAGTACTTAACAGGTCAAAACCTATAAAAGTATACACATGATATATAGCAAACAATAAATGTTAGCTGTTTTTATTATGATACTTTAGGGCAATTTGAATTTTGTTTCACAACAGTGAAATATTGGGATTAAAGGTGAAGAATGGAGTTAACATTTGGATATTGCTCCTACAGTATACCAAATAGTTGTAAACATATGAATTGTTCAATTTTTCTCTTTTACTTGGAATAGCTCAGCATCATTCTATCCCTATATATATAACATAGAAATTAATTCTTGACATGTACCTGTAAAAATGATTAAAAACAAGTAAACTTGCATAAATGATTCAATAAGTCAATTACAAATTTCAAATTCTAGAGAAATAAAATGAGTTGTCATTTAAAATACAATTGATAAACCTTGGGAATACCTTCCAAAATCGTATGACAAAATAATTGCTCTTCAAAATGATTCGATTATTTTAAATGTGAAAAAAAGAAGTATATAAAATGATAATATCCCTATAGCAGTTTTATGGAACATTTAAAATACGAAACTGCATTTGTGGCCATAACTATGACATTGCTCATCTCTACACCTGTATCTCATACTAGGTATGTTAATTGCAGATACAGCTGTTGAATGACAAGAAAATGGAAATCTTATTTTGTGTGCACCTGCAGTGAATTCAGGTCACAAGTCAATCAGAAATAATGAATGACTTTTTCCCACACCCTGATCACCATTTCAAAACTGCAATACCAATTTGCACATCAAATTTTCCAGACTACGTTTTTTATGCACTTAAGGATTCTAAAATGTAGCACGTAATTTGCCCTGTTAACTGTAGAAGTTATATAAACATGGTAAAGAAATTCATCACTTTTCATCATGTGCCATACAATATTTGCAAACTGATGGCTTAGATTCAAATGAAATTTTTTAAACAGTAATAAACATATTCTGCCTTCTCTCAGATTCATAAAGGCAGATTTCATTACCTTCAGAATGCTGGTCATAAAGACTGATGAACCCATAAGAATAAAAATCAAAAGCCCCGTAACCCTTTGCTCCCGAATGCCAAGAAATCTGGGTTGTTCTCCTGGAGCTGAACATTCTGATTCCAGTTTCAGGCTGTTGACGTGAGTGATGGAGAGGACAGTGGCGGCCACAAACCACGGCAGGCCCATGATGGAGCACACTCCCAGCATTAAAGCCACCATTAATAGGTCCAGATGGTACCCGCAACCTTTCTGTGAAAAGAAAGAAAAGAGCATCCTCACAGGACCTGAATGCAGTCCAGAGGCAAACACCAGCACCGTGGAACAGTAAAAATAGAGATAAGACCTTGAGTCTTATATAACTAATTCTAAAATGCAAAATAAACTAAAGATAAATAGGTGACAGTCTCAAAATACATAATCCACTTAAAGAAAAGTTGCCAATGTTCCTATTGCAATTGAGATTATAGTGACTTTTACATACTTTAATAGGTTTCATGCATTTCTGGGTTAATGTTCCATTAGTTTCCATTCTATTTCTATTGGGTAAGTAAAGTCATTATCAAAACAGTCACTTCCCTTAGTTTCCTTAGTTGAGAAAGTTAATTGGCCATTCATTCATGTAGGTAATCGTTCATTATTGATTCCTATAAAAATTATTGAACACCAGCCACACACCAGGCATCAGGCTGAGAAAACAAATGAGGAGTACATTAAAAACAGAGCTAAGACTGGTCTGATTGAGAATAGAAACCACTGCTGCCAATACTCAAGGGGCCCTTCGTACCAGATCTCCTAAAGATAAACTCTTCCTGAACACTGTTTCCATTGCCCTCCTTTGTCTCAGCAGGTGACTTTTTACGGATGAAACTAACACCATGGAACTTACGCTTCCTGATATATACTCATTTTTATCTTAGTATATAGTATCTTGCTCTCTTTTCTTTCCATTTCAGCACCTGAAAAAAAAATGTGGCCTCTCCTTAAAATGACAGTTTTTAAGTGTTTTCTATCTCTCTGTGTGATACCACTCCACTATCACTGACCTCCAGGCGTTGCAAACTTGAGCACTTTCCAGGAGCAGGCAAGAAATGTGCATGAGGAGAAATGGGTGCACATGGAGATGAGGTGATGGGGAGCCTGCTCCCTTGGAGGAGGCAAGGTCTCCCTGAGGAGAGAAACTGAAGACAGACAAGAAAAGCAAGACCCTCTCCCTCCACCACCTCTGCAAGAAACTGACATTGTAAATCAAGCCTCAGAGGCAGCAATGGCTTGGCCTCTTCTGAATCCCAACTCAACGACTGCTTCATGAGGGACGGCATGATATGGTGGTGAAGGGTTCAGGTGCCTCTGGTTCCCTATCTGAAAAATGGGGTTGATAACAGGAGGCACCTCATTGGGATGTTGTGAAGATTAAATTATTTAATTTTAATTTTTAAAATTTTTTAATTGAAGTATAGTTGATACACAATTTTATATTGGTTTCAGGTATATAACATAGTGATTCAACAATTATATACATTACAAAATCTCACCACAAGAAGTGGAGTTACCGTCTACAATTCTGTAAATCATTTAGAATAATGTCTGGTACACAGGAAGCACCCAATAAATAGTAAGGACCATTATATCCTAGAAGTTGAACCATAAAATTTCATTTTTTACTCATTTGTTTAAAGGCTTCTCAATAAAAGTATGTTTCTTAGGGGCAAGCACCATCTTGTAATTTCTCAGTATTTTACATCGTTTTTAGCATAATCATTGGCACATAATAAGCAATCAATAAGTTACAGATTCACTTTTTAAAAAGAAATATACACCACTGAAACGTCTCTTAGAATCAAATTTAGTAAGTATAACTTTAAATAAAGCTGTTAAATTTTGTTACTATGAACATGAGCAGAAAAATTATCAATTCTTCTAGAGGAAGAATTTTGGCTTTTTTTAACAGGAAGTTTTACCAAACTGCAAGCAGTTTCTATTTAATATGAAAACTTGCATAGCCTGGGTGAAACATCTGAGTATTTGTTGCATATATGTCATGGTGGTGTTTTCTTTTCTGCTATTTTGTTTATTGCTTTACTAAGAAAAACAATCTTAAAGTTAGTTGTACTTCCTCTCCTTTCTGATTATTCCTGCGAAATTATAAAAGTTCAGGAGATAATAATGAAGAAAAATGGGAGAAACCAATATGAGCACATTTTCTTCCCACCCTGTCGCCATTTCAGTGACACCCAATTGGATCAGCTTGGCTGGAGCAATGCTCCAGTTAACCCAAATGCCTGAACTCAATTTCCCTTATGAACATGACTCTAGAAACTTTTCTCTGCAAGTGAATCAAGAAAGATCTTCATAACTAAGAGCTGGAAAGTGGGAAGAGAAACACCCTGGTTTCAGCTTAATCCAAAAGGCAGAGAAGAAACTTCACCAGGGACATACGATGGTCCTCTGGTCCTTCTGCAGAACAACCTGGAAGATGAATAGAGCTCAATTTTTGGTCCCTTTCAAGGACAACGTCTTAGCCATTAAAAGGGTGTTTTGTCCCAGGGACCTGGAGTGAGAAGAATATAGAACAGTGAAGGGTCACACAAGCCCTTGCGTCTGACGAAGCGCAGTGTGAATGGCGCCCCCTGGGCTGTTTTGCAAAGTGGCGGAACGGAAAAGGTGCTAGTACAGTAGCTTTGAGATAAACGTCGGGCGCAGGCAGAGGACGGGGTCTTGAGAGTCGGCTTGTACTTTTAGCACACTCCGGCCTTTCGCAGGATCCATGTTCACTATGGCTTCACGTTATAAGGAAGGCCTTCAGATACCGGGTTCCTACGGCTCTTACTCAGTGTTTTAAAAATGCCATACATATATAAATGGTGGGATTCTGGATTGCAGGGGTCAGACAAAATAATGCTTCCCAAGGGAATAATTTCCTTTCTGCATTTAGAAAGCTAGCTTTGTAAACCACAAGTACATGACAAAAACAAAGACACAATTTCCCCCTGATTATGTTGTGCAACACCAGGAGAATCTTAATTGAGTTTGAATCCAGGGAAATAAAGCAGTTCTGTCACTTCCACTAATTAATCATTATCCTTCTTCTTGCCTTTCATTAAATATCATTCAAAGCTTGGTCTCTGTAACCAAATTATTAGTGGATAGGCATGCCAGCCAAAGGGAAGTAGCCCTTTGTCAGAGAGAGAACTCTGTACCTTCTAACATATTTCTCTAGATTTTTTTTTTTCTGAAATAAAGACAGAACCAGAGTTTTTATTCTCACATTCATCCATGAATCATGGGAATGGACATATGGGAGGAAAAGGGAGCATAGCAACAGGTGATGCTACACCAGACCCCACTAAAACCAACACGCAGCAAGACAAGAGGCCAGCCAAGGGGACCATCTGATACCCAGATGCCACTGCTGAAAAAATTCATTTCAAAGCTTGGCAGCAATTTCCTGCATCTGTCAAGTTAACCACATAAAAGACTATAGATTGACATGAAGAACCAGGCTGACAAAGAGGGCAAAAAAGAACATATCAAATGCCATAATCATCAAGAGAATGTGATGCCAAATGAATGTTGCAAATGCATTCATTTACTCAAGTGATCTGGGATTGTATTGCTGTTTATTAAAAATGATGTCAAAAGAAGACTGAACTGTCTACAGAAACATGTAGAAAATCCCACAGTTGTATCTTAACAGAAGCTTTCTTTTCTATAAGATAATATCTCTCTTTCCATTTTTTGGGAAAGTACTTTTTTAAAAAGTGGATATTTTAATGCTTTTCAAAGGGATTCAGTTAGCCTGTGCCTAGCCTACTTCTGTGGGGATGAAACAAACAAAAAATGCTAGAGAGAGTATGGATTCACATCTATCTATCTATCTATCTATCTATCTATCTATTTATCTATGATAATTTGCATTCTCAAGTTTTTACATTTGCAGCTCTTATCACTCTTGAGTGACCCAAAAGATCATGAGGTACAGTGAGCTGGAGTTTTGCTCATTCTGAGCTTCTTTATTCTGAGGGAGAAGTAAAGTCACTTAGGCAGTGAGTTGAGCCTAGCACCTTCCACTCAACACAGCTTTACGGTGTGTGTATGTAGTAATACTCTCAAAACAATAAAGACATTTTTAATGGCACAAAAAAAAAATCCTCTCAAAGAAAACCAATTCACTAATTTTGTTAACTGAAGTGAAGAAAAAGTGAAAAGATCTATAATACAAGTTTGGGAGAGATAAAGAGTGACATGATGAATTCTGAAGTGACTTGGATATATGAGGGAGACTTAGATATGGAATCTACTAGATGCTTTGTACAGAACTAGACAACATGATTGATTAAAGAATGTCAAGGAATGCCCCCAAACAAGGCAAAAATGTGTTTTCAAGTGAGAAAAGAAAATTAGTAAAAGCTAAAAATGTGGTTAACTCGTGGTCTGCGGATATACTCAAGAAACATGTGCCTTTTCACGACAATGAGGTTTAAGTCAAAGCCAGGAGACTATGCAAGCATTTCAGTGAAACAACTGGGAAGGGCGGCTACACAACAAACCGTTACTCTGAGTAAAGAATGTGCTGAGAAGGTGATTTTTGTTGTTAACAGGAAAATAAGCAGTGACAGGCCACACTATACTGAAGCTCATAGTAGGCAAGGGTTATAGCACCCCCCCGGGCCCCCAAAAATTTCAGTGTAGATAAAACATCTTCCGTGGAAGGACTTGCTTTGCTAATGTCCTTATCCGAGGAGGAGCGTGGGGTGCTCAGACTCACAGTGGCCAAGAAAAGACTGACTCTCCTTCTGGTGGGAATGTAGCAGTTTATGGAAAGGCAGATGTGCTCTATTGTTTACTAAATCCAGGCTATTAAGGAGTAAAATATGAATCTTCTGGCTATATAATCATTTGTTTGTACAATAAAAAGGGAAATGTACAAATAACACAATATAGCCTCAAGTTTATTTTGGTGATAAAAATATTAAGTGCTTTCATTCTAAATTTGATTCTATAAATGCAAGTACTTGATAGGACCACTTAAAGAATGCTTTATTGTGTTTTATTTGTTCTATGCTATATGTAAAGGGGAAAATATAATATATTTGTTTAATTTGGAGCTTTGGAAAGCTGTGAATGCCAAGGGCCTACCACAGGCTTATAAGAGCAAAGAGTAAGTGCCTATTTAATTTATAAGGTGGAGAAACCTGTAAAGAGCAAGAGTAGAGAATGGCCAGAAGGTAGTATCACCCTCAGTAAATACTGACTTACTTCCACATTTTGTTTTAATATGACTCCATTAATATTTGGAAAAAATACCACCTACATCAGTTTAGCTTAACAGCCTTTACAAAGGATAATTTTTCTATGAAATAAGTGGGATTTAAAGGCTTAAAAAAAACCCTTCTTCAAAAGGAAAATAATGACTATACAGCTAACTTTATTCCTCAAACATTAGTCTTTCAGTTTACTTTAAAACATACCATACAATGAAATATATATACAGCCATTAAAAATGACAATGAAGATTTATATTGTTGACATGAGATGATTACCGTGATAATGATCTTATGTGGAAAAAAAATACAAGCAACAACATGGTATCAAAATACATATTTGGGTATATATATATCAAAATATTAACAATGTTATCTCTGAGTGATGAAATTTCAGTGTTTTTCACTTTTGTCTTTTAAATTTTTATATTGTCTGATTTGTTATACCAAAACCATATATTACTTTACAGTGAGAAAAATAAAGGGGTTTTCAGCTCTAAAAAATAAACTGGTATATAGAAAAAATGTTTTCCTTCTTATGGAGTAACAGTTTAACAATATTCAACACGAAGTATTTACACTTGTTTTATAGATCTATTGAATCAACTATGTAACTTTAATAGTTAAGCTGTAGTGGTATTTGCTTTTGCAACATGTTGATATTTCTAAAATAAGTAATATTTTTTATCAATTGATATCCATCCATAAGCTATGAAACTTGGAAATCTGAATTCCTTGTTTTGAAGGCTGTAAGTGACTCAAAGTTTCCAATGTTGAATGGCACAGTTCAGTGTTTGGAGGCAGCTTTTATAAGCTTATGAGAGCCAATTGTTTAATTTCAAATTTTTTTCCTGCCAGTTGATGTCACATTGGTAGTTTGATATGGGCCACGGTGGGAGTATTCACACCATGGAAATCAGCAAACATTATAAATCAGGGTCTCTCTCTCTCTTTTTTATACACAGAGAAATGGTTGTTAAACATGTGCCAGCATACCACTGGTCTAGTTCCTAAGACTTTATGAGATATTTTTGTAAAATATATTTTTAACAAGTGATTTGAAGGAAATCTTTTATAAAAAGGCTTTGTGCACTGTTAAATTACTGTCTACAAAGAAAATAAAAAGTGCTCTTTAGGAGACACTCCTTAATATATATACAAATTTCCTTTTTGGTAAGATTTATTACAAATAATTATGCTTTCTTATATTTATAACATTACTACTTCCCACCAAAAATTCAATAAGAGATTTTCTAAATCTTTCTAATAAACATACTTATAAAATCCTATGAAGCATGATTTCTGTTGTTCTGACAATGAATCTTTTCCTAGGGTTTAAGTAGCATATGAAGATAGATGGTAATTATCCCATGATACTAGGACAAAGCATGATTGTATATGTTCTCTTTTATAAGGTTTGATTCTGATTTTTTTTTAGCTATTCAATGATTTTGTTGATTTATTTAACATATTCCTGTAATTGATAGTGCCCATATTCCATATCTCAAATTGCACACCAGTAAACAACTTGACTATTCACAATTGTAAAATGTCAGTCAGAAAATAACATATTAATAAGATACACCCATATTTATTGTCTTTGTAAAAAAAAAAGAAATCATTGAAATCTGTGATAAAACTCTAGAAAGATATCACAAACTTAACATTTACAGCTGGACTTTATTGTTACTGGCATATAGACAGAGAAATAACTAAGGAAAATGAGACATATCTGAACATGTAATTAGCTCCAATAATGAATGCAATCTAATAGACACACTTTGGGCCAAAGAAAGAAACAGAGGAACCCCAGATATATGACAAGTTGACAAAGTTGCACTTCACCAGAATGGATTGTTATTTCATTAAAATATGTTAAACTTGGTAAAGAAAGTTGTAACATTGGCATTGTTTAAGTGCTGTAGGTAAGGTTTCGGAGTTTATAGCTCAGCCAAGTGTTATAAATTAATTAATTTTAAACTCATCATAAGACAAAATATTATGAATATGGACAGTAAAAATTATGAACCTGAAAAGATTATTTTAATATCTTAATGTACAAATGAATACAGAATGTAGGCAAAGTATAAAGAGTATCAGTTGATGCCAGTTAAGTCATAGCGATTTACACTAAAACAGATGTTAAAATATACCTTCAGCTTATGCTCTTTCCTGTTGATGATGACAGCTGTGATCTGTTGGTCCATAAAAATTAGAATAGTGCAAAGCAAAGCTGGAATAATAGCAGCTATTACTGTCCACCATGGATTCGGACCTAAAGGTGTAATAAACCAGCCACGATCATCTCTGGTGGGCTGTGAAAAATAAAAGAATGTACATAGTACTTAACTGGATTCATGAATACCTAGTCAAATTAAGTCTTACTGATGATATCAGGAAAGCCCTAATTATTAGTGATATGCTGAGGGAGCTATAATATACAATAATAATAACATTCACGAAACATGTATAAGGTGAGGCATACCAAGCGCTTTAAATACTTTAACTTATTTTTTTCTTCACAACACTCTGAAAAAGATAATAAGGAAACTGAGGCAGAGAGCAGTCCAGTAAATTGCCTAACGTCCCAAAGCGTATAAGTGACAGAGACAGTATTTCAACTCCCACTGGCACAAAAGTCTGTGTTCTTAATCAATGCCTTTATTAAATACAATAATATTAATATTTGCCATTTGCAGTTGGCAAATGTATTTACATATATAAATAGCATGTTTACAACTGTGTGTAACTCTTATTTTAGAGGTATGCACAGGCCAGTATGTAAAAATGGCAAGGAGACAATCAGTCGCATCAAGGGCTCAGAGAAGTGTTCTAAACATGGCTGGTGCCAGAGATGAGTTACCAAAGGAATTCATTTTGACAGTTCTTTAAGGAAGTCCCCAGCCCTGTTTGACAGGTGAGAAAACTGAGGCTCAGGGAGGTTACATAACTGGTCCAAGGTCACATACTTAGTAACATGGTTAGAATTCTATTCCAAATCTAATTTCATCTGTTTTCCAAGCCCTATCCACTGTGCAGTTCTGCATCAAGATAATGCATTTTCTCTTAGTTTCGAAATCCTTCTTCATCTTTTAGGAGTGTCGCCTAACAGATATTCCAACTGGAATAATTAACAGGAAAGCTTTTTAAGCGACCTCTAGGTTTCTATTTCTGTGGTTCCTATTCTTTTAATATTAGACTAATATCTCAGTCATGCTGTGGGCATTTTATTTATTCCTCTATTAATTTATGTCCTTTATGCTTTCATGAAAACGCCAAGTACTAGGATCACAGTCTTTAACTAAATGAAGATTAGACCTAATGGAGAAATAGTAAATGCTGTAACTTCACCTTGAAAACGCTTGGAACTTGTAGTTTTGGAGATGGGATCCCAATGGCATAGTCAATTAAAACCATACACAGAATGGTAAGAAAGACAGCAAAGTCACTCACTATGGATCGAACCTAAAAATAATGAAAGCACTTGTCACTTGAAAGAACTATAAATAGTGAGGAATACTCAGGAACATAATCTAGAGTCACACATTATAAACACTTTATGACACCATATCATAATATTATATTTTATGCATACTGTAATATTAACATTAGTTCTGTCAGAACCTGAATATATATTCATGTATCTCTGGCATTAAGATGAATACACGCTCAACTTTTACGGAATGAAGCATGATGGAATAGCTATAATGGTGATCATGCTATTTTCAGTATTTATTTAAAATCTAAGTTTATTATGAGCCCGAGTGAACATTTAAAAAGTAGGATAAGGTTGAATGGCCAGAATTTGGCTGAATTTTAGCACTCTTTCTCACATAGACATTTTAACATGATAAAGCTGAAGTACCATAAAATAAGATCATTTTTATTGAAGCATAATAATATTTCCGTTCATCTGAGATATAATACAGTAGCAGGGAATGTACACAACAGTATCGGCAAATTTAAAAGTTATTCTAAGTTAGCTACTTTGGAAAAGAGTACCTTTTTTTAAGGCCATTTCTCATTTATAAAGCCATGTTTGAGCAAAAATCTATACAATTATCAACAAGATCTGGATTCTTTTAGGATGCCTTTATGACACACAAAATGCAGAATTACTGTTTCAACTTGCAAAAAATTTTTTGTTTTGGTCAAACTAAGCTTTCATGGCAAAGAAATGAATCTTTCTCCTTAAGAAAGGAAAAGGTGACAAAAACAGAAGTTTTCTTTGGGAGAAATTGCTCTTAAAATATTTTCCCGAAGTGGAATTTTGATCATAATCTTTAGCTCACCCCTAAAAAGCTTGTTTTCTTGTTTCTTTTCTTTTCCTTTTTGGCTGAGTCAGACATTATAGGTGTTACTTTTCAGTGTTAAATATTGAACTAAGCTGTTTCTCTGTTTACTTTCCTTTCCAAATATGCAGATGCAAACGTGGTGGGTTAGGGGGAGGGGCTGACACTTTAAACACGAAAAAGAGAATGGTGTTCCAGAGAGTCCTGCAGGGGCTTTCCCAATTAGAGAATGTAACAGTGGCTCCTGTGAGTGTCTGTCACCCTGGAATAGTTCCCGCTGTTCGCTGGGCAAGAAAGTGACAATCAGTAAAGCGTGCGTGCTCTTGATTTCCAAACGCACAAGTGGGAAAGTGGGGGTTTATCTTTGGGATTTGAAGTCAGGAGAAGAGCATGGAGGGCAAGTGCTCTCCCCGCATGGGAACCACAAAATGCTCCCTCTTCACCTGCCTCACTGCACCCCGCTCCTGACCCGGCAGCTCACTCCCACAGAGACCTTTTAGCACCTCCTTCTAAGACAGCAGGTGCTCTTTCTTTTGTCCTAAAACATGTATAACTCAATAACATGCTTTATGTTGGTGTAAAGCTTTGATTAGGAAATTTTGTTTAGGAAAATTATGGTCTGTGTACCTTGGTTGGAAAATAGCGACTAGTCTTGAACTGCTTCAAGGTGGCTGACAGAGTAACTGTGGAAAAGAACAGGATCACTGACCAAAAGAGAACATCTGGAACGTACGGGTGATCGTGGCCGCAGGCTCGTCCAATATACTCTCCATGCAATGATTTGCATTCCTACCAGAGGAAGTAAAATAAATAAATAAATAAATAAATAAAATAGATCTATTGAGAAACAAAAGGACACATTTTTTTCAGAAAACAACCATTTTTAATGTCAGTTGCACTTGCGATGCTGAAGATTTTCTTTTATGGATTCCACAATGATTTAATAGCACATTACACTTTCTGAATTATATTTGGATATGTAGAGAGCAATATCAAAGAGTTATGTTAAATTGGAACATGAACCCACTTACAAACTTTTTTAATTTTTTCAAATTAAATTTAAATCTATAAAACTAATGGATTTACCAATCAGTGTGTATGTAATTATTTACTCAGTTTTATTGAAACCAGATTTATTGAAAATGTGACATACTTTATAGTGAGTGCTTACTGGGGTCAGACCTTATGTCAAATCATTTAAATACAGCATCTTAATTTTCACATCAACCTTATAAAATAGGTAGATGCTTATTATTTCTATTTCATGTCTGAGGAAACTGAGATGTACAGAAGTCAGGTAATTTGCTATAGTCTTACTGATGCTGGGTGGCAGAGCTGTGACACAAACCGGGTGCCTACCCTGGGGGCATTATTGCATATTAAAGAAGAGCAGTGACTTCATAGAATTATCTAGTCTAGAAGCTACTAAGAAAGGCAGAAAAGGCAAGAAGAAAACCATGACATTTTATTGACCAGAATGACTGGGAGTAAAAAATGGGGTTTGAACTTAGATTATAGAACAAAAGAGAAAGCGTTACTACATGAACAAGGCAAAATTCATATTTACTATGACCTCTCCATGGTCTTTTTCCTGGTATAAATTTGTATAAGCCCCTGAGGGATTGTATCTAATTATTACCTTAGCCATGAGGTGGCAGCAAAGTCAAAAAAATTTCCTCTTCAAGAAAAACTGAGCATTTTAAACATTAATATTTTGAAATAAAAATTTTTCTTTCAAACTCATTTTGGTTTCTCTTACTTTATTTTAAAGATCATATCAGTGAAGTATTGATTTTTTTATCTCAAAACTGAAAAGAATGGCTTAAGTGATCCAATGACCTCATTAACACTTGACATAGTTTGTGACCTGAACAGAAATTGAATTGTGTCATGGTATAGAAAGCTCTCAGAGAAAAATATGGATGAACGGATTGATCAACAACATAGAGTCTGCCCAATGAACAAAGCCCCAGGCCCTAGAGTCCTTGTACAGCAGAAAATAACTACCTTCAAAAAATTCTAGAGTAAAATCAGAGATAACTACATTGTAATCCCAAAACAAACAGTAAAATCTACATGGGGCAGCTACCCCTAAGGCTAGGATTCTTGAGAATATTGTTAGTGTACCCTGTAATTATCTGACAGAATTCTGTTCTTTTTTCTAATCTAACTACAAATACCTTCCTTGCTAGCTACAGTTGAATTCCAACTATCCATGTTAAGCTGATATTGAGTACAATAACTTGGCTAACTGAAAAATCAAAGAAAAATCTCCCAGGCCTTAATTTTCCTTTAAATTTAGCTTTAATTTTCCTTTCTCAAAACTCCATAAAATTATATAAAGTACCAAAAGCAAATCCTGTGATTTTTAGTCCCTTCTCTTGCCCTTGACCTGAGATGCTAGTACAGCAATTACTAAGCAAAGCAATGGTTAAACAGAATGGCTAATTACAAAGAGGAGCTAGACGCTCTATTGTAAACACATTATCTATAGATTTGTGATCATCTTCAGTTTTTTGTACAGATATAAAAGTCTTCTAAATCTACCTTGAATTTGGCTTGGTCTTGTTCTCAATTCTTAAGAACATAGATGCCATTTAAAGAATCATTTAACTGTCTTATAATCTATAATAAATAGCCAAAAGCTTGCCTCGTCACCTTCATTCAAAGCAAATCTGAAAAGAATATTTTTGTCTTCCTTTTTGGGGGACAGTACGTTATTTAAAAAAGAAAAACTGTGACCTACTGAATTCTACATTTATTTTCCGATTTATACCAACTGTATCCCTAACACACACACACACACACACACACACACACACACACACACACACACACACAAGAAGTCCTGAGATTTAGAAACGAAAACCAAAATCATGTTCTCTTATTTTGAGTCTAACATATGGTTTCACTTCCAAAATGAAAAAAATGCTTGTTGACAAACTCATTTCTACTAATTATTCTTCAAACACATTCTAAGTTTCAACAATTTTATAAGTTGGTAAGAATTAAGTTTGATAAAATAAGAAATTGAAGTTGGCATTAGTATCCTGCCCCTCATATATGTACAAGCTAAATATGTAATTCTGGCACTGAGACAGTTTTTAACCAATTGCTAGTTAATTGCTTGTGAATATTTTAAACCTTGCCTAGGAATTCCTTATAATGACTGATTTTGTGATACTGTAAAAAATACATATAAAAATAGAAACCAAATATTCTAGCTTGCCATAGGAAAATTGAATTAAGCATTATTCGCAATAGCCAAGATATGTAAATAACCTAAATGTCTATTGATAGATGAGTAGTTTAAGAAAATGTACTATGAGTATACAATGAAATATCATTCATCCTTAAGAAAAAAGAAGGAAATCCTGTCATTTGCAAAATAATGGATGAGCCTAGAGGACATTATACTAAGTAAAAGAAGCCAGACACACAAAGGCAAATAATTCATGATTTCACTTATATATGGAATCTAAAAAAAAGTCAAATTCATAGAAGCAAAGAGTAGAATGGTGGTTACCAAGGGTGAGGGGGAAAGAGGGGAAATGGGGAAACTATGCAAAGGGTATAAAGTTTTGATTCTGGAGGATGAATAAATTCTGAAGATCTAATTCTAACAATGACAATGGTTAATAATACTGCATTATATAGCTGAAACTTATTAAAAGAGAAGACCTTGATGATTCTCACCAAAAACAGAAAAAAGAAAAAGGTAATTATGTGTGGTGACAGGAAGATTAATTAGCTTGATTGAGATAATCCTTGAGTAAGATAATCATTTCACAATATATGCATATATCAAAACATCATGTTTATAACTTAAATAATATATTTAAAATATAATTTAAATACAACTTAAATAAAATTGTTGTTTGTCAATTATACCTCAATAAAGCTAGAAAACAAAATGAACCAAAACAAAACACTTGCATTAAATATTAAATTTGTGATATAGGGCTATTTTTCAAAATAATTGTTACATGTTTACTGAACACTTACTATGCATACTGCAGTATAGGGGAATCAAAGAAAGCTAAAGTTCTTTGGCTTTTCTGAGTTGGCAAATCATAAGTTACAATTCAAGAGATATGTAACAGCTCAATTAAAAGATTGTCAAATGAACAATATATATGAAATAAATGATATATCACTATTTTTACAAAACTAGTTATAATAGCCATTAGCACAATGCTTTATTAATGAAATGCTTTTAGTGATACTGAAGATAATACTGAGGAAAAAAACAGCATAACAATTAAGACAAAAATTTTAATGGTCTTCACTGACTTAGAAAATTACAAGATATTTTCATTATGTAGCATACCCTTTGGTGACAAAGGCTATTTCTGGTCAAGATTAGCAATTATCCATTGCAAAAACTGCTTTTAACTAATGAAAAATAATATGAAAATTTCTGCCAGAATGTTAACACCTAGTATAGAACTAGAAAAAAAAAACACCCACAGTGCTAGATCTGCTTTGATTGCAAAATATTTTTCACTGTATTCTGCTTGACCCTAAAACTTTTAATACCTAAAATTAACTCATGGCTAGCCAGATCAATTATGCTGTGAATCTCTTAGAAGATTATTATTCAGGATTTGCTATTGCGTAGAATGAATATTATTATTTAACATTACACTACATGGAGTAAATTATAAGTTATATAATTTAGAAATGGGATTATTAGCTTTCTGCTTTGAAGGGGACACCAAGGTGAGAGACATAAGCAATATCCTTAAAGTTTACAAAAGGGGAATATAGATGGAAGATATATTGATGAATGCATCGACCGTAATCCCATGTCTAGATTCTGAAAACGGTAGCATTCTTTTTTGTTCAGCCCATCATTTCATTTATTGTTCAATTTAAATATCTCTCTGAGAGTGAGCAGTCTGGTAATGTCATTTTTCTCAGGAAAAATCAGTGGGACAGAATAAATGTTAACATAACAAAAGAAAACAACAACAGTAAGTGAAGGCTTAATCTACAGAAGATGCCTAAGATAAGAAAAAGAGGTAATAAAATATAGGTCAAGTTAGAATTTAAAACAGAGGGTAAGTAATTTGATTTTAATTCTGAAAAAAATATTTAATGGGGAAAATTGAGAGAACAGGAAACAGCTCAAATGCTCTTGCAAGAATTATGTTTAGAGTGCCTTAATATTTACAACAAAAAAGATTTCTATATTCCACTAACTGGCTTATTTGCTAAAATGCTATGTGTTTCATAAAATGAACTAGAATTTTATAGAGTTTTATGCTGATGGTTATAATGGGATTTGAGTTTATCTAGGTAGGTAAAGTAGCAGAAGCTTTGAATCATAATGTTTGTAACTAAGAGGAATGGAAAAGGAACAAGGTAACTCATGTTTCAGTGTTCACTAAAAGCAGAACACTGTCAACTCTCCCAATTATGAGATTTGGTTGAAGAGAAACAAAGGATACAAATATAAATGGGAAAAGATATGCACAAACATGATGAGATTAAAAGCATTAAGAAATGTAGTGATGAGATACAAAAGAAATCATAAAACAGAGGAAAGTCAAAAAAACTTTGTGAAAGGCACAGGATCTCATCTTGATAGGTGAAAAGTAGGCTGCCATCCCTTTTCTTGAGTGGGATAAGAAGAAAATGGAAGTAACAAAGCCCTTCTGGAGGGAAGTGTCAGAACTCTGTTAAGAATCGTGATTTTTTTCTTCCCAAAGATTTCAATATTTACACTAAAATATTAACAAACCTCCCTTCCCCCTCAGCATATTCTGAACAGCTGGAGCAGCATCACAGAGCAAAAGCATTGTGGGTCCTTTACACAGAAGGCCAACTTAGTTCTGCCATATGGTTTCATTTAGGGCGACACCACTCTTACTTAATGTGCTTTCAGTTAATCTGGGCACATTATGCTGTATACACGTGTGCTTTCAGAGCAACTCAGGCCTACTATTAGACAGACCTGCTGTTGAACGAAAACCTCAGTTTACTAATGAATACCTGAAATGAAGAAAATTAAAATTAAGACAAAACTATCCTTTTATAATAGTATGCACTTGAAACAATTTACCTTAGTGGCAATAATTCATTCAAAATGTCAGCCAAAGCCCTTATAGTAAGAAGATTCAAGCACTGACCTATTTTACAGTGGTTCACTCACCGACACAGTTAGGTTCTCCCAAATTATGTCAGAGGCAGAAATATTGGACTCTCTCCATTCCTGCAATGTGTCATTGCTCGGATTATGTGGTTCCACACAGTTACACCTGAAAAGGCAAAATAGCATCTTTTCTGAAATAAATGCTTGTTGTCACTGTACTTAAATCAGATGTATATTGGGTTCTCTTCCCCAGTCATAACCTTCTTCCAGCTGAGAGATAAGTAGTCAGATGATCCTACTTTCCAAGACACACTATTTTTTAACAAGCAGGAGAGATATATTACTAGAGCACTGTAATACTCTATGATGTTTTCTGCAATGAGAGGTCATTCCCTCTCTGAGTCAGAGGAAATTTATAAAACTGTAGGTTTTAAAACACAGATCTTTCAGGACCTTTCCAAATGGAGATGCTCTGTAGACTTTACAGTGACTATCTGTCCCCATATTATAAATGGAAAAAGTCATAAATGTCCAGATCTATCACTATAATTTACTTTTTGTTATTAATATCATACAGCCATGTCAATCAAAATCAGACTTTTTAATTTATATTCTAAAGATCACTTATAATTTTGCTATGCAATTCAAAATTAAGGCTAGGTTGAAGGACCCTAGGTGTCTAGGATATCCTATTCTTTGTGATGAGTGACAGTCCTATTAGGAATCAAACAATTGATATGCCAAAGTTTCTGGAGTACCTACTACATGAAAGGGAATGTGATGTATGTTGGGTGAGGATAAGAGCAGAGAGAATAAGAAAGCATTGGACATAGTGATACATCATGTAATAGAAAACAGTTTTTCATGCTCTTTTTGACTTTATAAATAAATGAGAAGATACAAGTAAACATTACTAACAAAGTAATGGGTTTTGATGTTGACTTCATTTTACAGCTGGTTTGTTTCCAAGAATTCATTCATAAACCTAATATTTGCCCTTCAGAAACCATTTTCTTATAGAAGCATTTCATGAGGTGGTTGAGCTCCCAGATTAACCCACATAGATGACATAATTTGAAAGTTGGACTGGTGTGGTACTGATGGTGACTGAACCATAGACTCTAACCACCAATATGAAGAATAAGTAAGATGATACATATTAGGCGCATGGTTCACAGGTAGGCGGTTTTGAAATTGTGGCTGCTATCATCATCATGGTTATCATCAATATTATTTTATGGCTCATTTTTCAGTCTTTCATAAGATGTAATAAAACTATGATCTTTCACCATGGTATTAACACAAAAAAACCCACTAGGCTTTCTCTAACATTCTGATATTCTTTTTCATTTTACTTCCAATCTTTTAAAGAGAATTAAATTCTGACCAGCATTGGGACAGTTTTGCTACTATCACTAAGAATCTATCAAAAGAAACAAAATTCCTGTTTAATTTTGACTCTGGGTCATTAGATCACGAGGAAATATATTAAATGTAACCATAAAGAGAGAATAATTTAGTTGGAAAAGCTTTAAAAAATAATTAACTCTAAAACTGTTAAATCACTGAATAATTTCTAAAATTAAGTATCAGATTTGGCTTCTGGTTTAAGATAGAGCATTGAGCACACATGTTTATTTTCCCTCATTATCTAGAATTCATTAAACAAAGGAATAATTTTTTTAAAAAACATTATGGGAAACACTGACAAAAGAGAGACATAAGCAAATGGAATATGAAAAGCATATGAAAACAGAATGTTTGAAAAAAGAACAGAGCAATAATAATGCTAGTAGTATTTTACATTTAATTTTTAAAATAGCATTATCCACATGAAAAATATTGAGGCACAAGTAACTTGGTCAAGGTTACACAGCGAGAAAAGCCAGATTCAGAATTTAAATCATGGTAGTAGACTACAAATCACTATATAAAATATATATCTCCTTCCAACTACAGTAAAGGAGGGGCTGGCCTGCCCAGTGGAATCCCAAGAGGGTTTGGACTAGGAGAGAGGCTCATAATCAACAAAGAAATAGAGTAAGAGCTGAAAATATGGGAACTAATGAGAGTCTGACAATACAACAGTTGATTTCAGAAATCTTCCCCTCAGTTACTACATACCCCTTCTCCACAGAATGACAGCAGAATTTTCTCTCAGCAATACCATCAACATTATGAAGCAAAATTATTTTGTACCTTGAGTTCTATATTGAGGCAAACCATCAGATCAAATAAGGAAGAATAAAAAGTTAATTCTTGGTAGATTTCAGTTTTTCTTGCATGTATTCTTACTTAGAAAATAAATGATAAATAAAAAAGCAGATATGGATGAAAGACAGAGTATTTCCAATCCAGGGAAGCAGTAAAAGGACTCTCAGAATAACAAGAGAGGATCAGAGAAAGAATGACATCACTAGATGGCTGAACAGAAAGTCCCAGCCCTCATTTTCCCCAAATAAATACCAGCCTGACAGCAATATATGACCTTGATACTGTGATGAGAATTCCAGAATCCAGTTAAGTTGTTGTAGAAGCACAGGTGAGCATAAAACAGAATAGCCACATTCAGATGCATAAGAAAAGCAATTTTACTTTAACCTCATCATCCCCTTCTCCAAGCTGGCACAGCTCAGCAATGGTAGGTAACAACACCCAGACACACATTTTCTACACTGTGGGGAAAAAAAGTAGAGGCTGCCTCTGACATTCCAACTCAACAGAGGGTTGTCCAAGGGACTGGTATCCGTCTTGCCTGACTCAGGGTGTTGATAGGAATTAAGCATACTGTGGATACCCAGTGGCCTCTAAGAACAAGGGACAGAAGGGCACCTTGCTGCTGCCATAGAACCAGAGAACTTGCAGTGCTGCTGATAGGAAGCAAGGGCGTGATTTACTGGAAGGAGAAACCAGCAGCCCCCTCTGATAAAGAAATAACACACACAAGTCCAGAGAATTGCATCCCCTCCACAACAACAACAAAAAAGTTTACAGAGACCCCAGAATCTCTAGTCAGGCTGATTAGTAAGGGTCTTCTGCTGTGTAACGCCAATCCATAAAGACTAGAAGTGGCTGTTATTTCAAATACACCAACTGCAACAGAAGGTTCTGAGACATATGAAGAAACTGGGAACAATGGCCAACACAAAGGAACTAAATAAATCTCCAGAAACTTATCTTATACAAAAGGGGATATACTAATTACATGACGAAGAATGAAAATAACCATCATAGGTATTCTATGATCTCAAGAAAATAGTGCATGAACACAATGAGAATATCGACAGAAAATACTAAAAAGAACCAAGAAGAATTTTTGAAGCTGAAGAATACAATAATGGAATGAAAAATGCACTGGAGGGGTTCAACATTAGACTCCAAGCAGAAGAAAGAATGGCGAACTCGAAAACAGGTCACTTAAAATTATCCAGTCAGAGGAACAAAAAGAAAGAGACTGAAAAAGAGGAAAGAAAGCTTAAGGAATGTATAGGACACATTAATAGTAGATTAAATATGCATCATAGGAGTCCCATGAGGAGAAGAAAGAGAATAAGGGACAGAAAGATTATTTAAAGAAATAGCGGACAGAAACGTCCTAAATCTGGAAAGGAAATTAATATCCAAATTTAAGAAGCCATGGAACTCCAGTCATAGTGAATCCAAAGAAATCAATACTGACACACATTATAATCAAACTGACAAAAGTCAGATTTGAAATTTGAAAACAGCAAGAGAAACATGATTCAGCACCATGCACAAGAGAACCTCTGTAAGACCATCAGTGGATTCTCAGCAGGAACTTTGCAGGCCACAAAGGAGTGGGATGATATATTCAGTCCTGAAAGGGAAAAACTACCAACAAAGAATATTATGTCTATCTAAAACGCTCTTCAAAAATGAGGGATAAATAAAATCTTCTCAGATTAAAAAAAACAACAACACTGAGTTTGTCACCACTAAAGCTGCCTTATAAGAAATACTAATGGAAATCCTCCAAGTTAAAACAAAAGTACACAGAACAGCAATGTAAAAGCAGATGGAAGTATAAAGCTTGCTAGTAAAGGTGACTACATAGACAAATACAGAATACTGTAATGGTGGGTGTAAATCACTTTTAATTCTGGTATAGAAGTTAAAGGACAAAAGTATAAAAAAACACATTACTAGAAAAAATGTTAGCAGATGCACAACACGTAATTTGTGACATCAGTAGCATAAAGTGTATAAAGGGGAGGAAGGTGCAAAGTATTTCTGTGTGATTAAAGTTACCACCTTAAAATACATTGTCATAACTGTAAGATGTTTGATGTAAGCCTTACGGTAGCCACAAAGAACACAGAGAACATAGAGAAAAGAAAATAAAAAGGAAACAAAACATGTCACTACAAAAAATAAATTAATAAAACACAAGAGAAGAAAGAGAAGAAAAGGCAACCAAAATGCTAAAAGACAAAAAACAATTAACAAAATGGCAATAGTAAGTCCATCTCTATCAGTAACTACTTAAATGTAAATGTATTCAGCAGCCCGATTAATAGACAGAGTGACTGAATGGCTAACAAACCAAGATCCAACTATGCTGTCTAGAGAGACTTTTAACTTAAGGACACACATAGGGTGAAAATTAAAGGATAGAAAAAGATATTCAATGCAATGGGTAACCAACAGAGAGCAGGAAGGCAGGGGGATAATTGCATCAGACAAAAAAGGCTTTAAGTCAAAAACTGTAGAAAGAGACAAAGGAGGATACTATATAATGATAAAAGGGTCAATTCACCAAGAAGATATAACAAATTATCTATTCATTTATAGCAGAGCACCCAATATATGAAGGAAACATTGACGGAGTTGAAGGGAAAGGTAGTAATACAATAATATTAGGAGATTTCAATATGCCATTTTGAATAATGGATAGAGTCCAGACAGAAGATAGACAAGGAAACAAAGGACTTGAACAACACTATAGACCAAATGAACCTAATGGAATGTACAGAACATCCCACTCAATAGCAGCAGAATACAGTTCTCTCAAGCGCACACAGAACATTCTCTGGAATATATATTACATTAGGTCACAAAATTAGTCTTAAATTTAAGAAGACTGAAAGGAGTTTGTACTATTTGATAGCAACAAAATAAATTGATAAAAATGAGTAATGGACTTGA